GTACTGTAATCTGTTGTTTTTGATATTGAGTAAATCCTCAACTTTACAATTTAATTTTTACCATTTGTAATAACTATTGATTATTTCTAAAGTAAATAATTGAAAACATAAACTGACATGTTCTGTTTTCATGCACATCAAACTAAATAAAAAAAACTTTTCTAAATAATGATGCTTTAGTCCTGTTGAGATCATGATAGAAATTGGGTGATATAATGAATTACATCTCAGCTCAGAACACTGCTGGATACTGAATACAATGTCATTACCTACTTAATGCTTAATTGCTTTTTGTTGTTAATGTAGAATGTTGATTTGATTCTGCCTAGTATTCCACTTTGACCCAAAGGGACTGACTCCTGGACGGGATATAACGATGGATCGTGAATGGTTAGAAATCAGTACAAATGCTTGGCAATTTCCATCAGTTGAAATGAAAAATGAATCGAGCATCAAGGTGTAAGGAGTAGGCTGCGTTATACATCAATAAAGCAGTGGTCATCCCATGACACTACACTCTAGTACAGTAGGTGGCGGTATGTGCCTAAAAAACATTGTTTGTGACCCATTTTAAAACCAAAATGTCAAGTCCTTATGTAGCCTAAGTGACATTCAGGTGCTAAAAAGAACATTGGAAGAACTTCTTCCACAGACACAACAGTTTTTTAGTGTTTCTGTAAGGAAAGGAACTGTTTCCAGTTCTTTTTTTGTTATGTTGTTTAGCATATTGACAGTTGGCAAGGTAAATAAGATCAGACCACTTTGACTTTTAATAAGCGGAGATAAATGGTGACGTGGAATGTTTCTGTAAAGGAATTTTCTTTTCTTTTTTTGTTATTTAAGATAACCATTTCCATTTTTGATGTAAACAAGACCATTTCAGTTGGTAATGCCCTTTTGCATAGTTCTTACAAATAGTTACATCCCTACCCTCCAGGATGTTCCTGTATTAAACCCTGTTATGCCAGCAAACCCACGACTACAGGACCACCACAACTATATAAATATTTTGAATATGAATATTCATTTTATTGAACAATATGTCATTATTTAGGAGAATATCGGTCAAGATTCAACACCACCATTTAATTCTGAATAGCAGTTTGTAAATACAAGAAGTAGAGAATAGTACTGTTTACGCAGCTTCAGCCTCAATTCTCTTCTTCCTCACCCGGAGCCTCCTCTCTCTCTCGTATTCCTTCATACGCATCACGTAGCTTTAAGAAAAGACACAGGAATGATAGTCAATTCCAAATACTGTTGCTTAATAGTGGTCATACTACAAATAGTACAAATAGTTGCAGTGTCATGGTCACTGAAATTGTCAATGAACAATTAGCACCCAGGAGTAAAAGCAGTATTTGTTTCATACACACTTTAAGTACAATACTGTATAAAACCTTAACATGGGATAGTTGAAAAATAACACTTACTACAACTAACTTGTAAGAACATGTAATTGGTGTTAGACTGACTTCCTAACTTTACAGTTTCCTTTGACTGCAAGATGTTGAGCTCATGTTTTCACTGTTCACAGTGAACATGTCAAATGTAGCGTCATAACTTACTCCTTATGTTCACAGTACTCCCAGTCATGCTTCTGATGAGCACAGGCCGAGATATTGGGCCAGTGGTCCCTCCTGCACTTCATAAATATGATAAGGTAATGGGCACAGTAGTCCCTCAAGTCCATTGGAAGCTGGGCCATGTTCATCTGCTCCTGAGTTGCCACCATTTCTATGAACAAGCCACACAAGTATATCTTAGGTTTATTGTTACATTTCTTTTTCCGTCCACATTTACCGTAGTGACTTATGTTAGATACTTTCTCCTCAGCTTTTATTGATATTATTTGTGAGATGGTAATATTTTATGACCATGTTGAAGAGTTCTGTTAGGCAACATGAAAATTTCTCAAGAAGACATTGGTCGTCTCATCCAAGAGGCTTCTTCAGTTCTAACTAGTGGTTGGGAATACAATAAGTATATACTTGGGGTGTGACAAAAGCTGAAGGTCCCCCCTGTTGGGTTGGCCATTAGGGAAATCTGGGGAAGTGTTAATAGTCGTTAGGAGTCTGATGGGTCGGTTCAATCCTCATCATTGTTTCGGTCACATGTCTCATTGCTGTGTGAAACCGGCAGATGGGAGGTGAATCTTCTGGGTATTGTTCATAAGAATGCCTTATATGAGGTTGTGTCTTAGCCCACCTCCTCTGTTGAGTGATGGTTTTTCCAGGTTGACAAAAATGGCTTCTTTTACCCCTCTCTCAAACCATCTGTCTTCCCTGGCCAAAATGTGAACATTGTTGTCATTGAAGGAGTGTGTTTTATCCTTGATGTGTATGTGAACAGCTGAGTCCTGTCCTGAGGAGTTGGCCCTCCTGTGTTGGGCCATATGCCTATGTAGCCGTTGTTTGGTCTCCACAATGTAAAGGTCCGTACACTCTTCACTACACTGAATGGTGTATAGCACACTGTCCAGCTTGTTCATCGGTGTCTTGTCTTGAGATGAACCAGGTTTTGTCTCAGGGTATTAGCATGTCAGAATTGTACAGAGATCTGATGCTGAAGCACCTTTATCTTGTGTCACACCTACAGTATATATTTACTTTTCTTCCCACCACCAGTAAGAACTGAAGAAGCCTCTTGAATGAGAGGCCAAACGTCTTCTTGAGAAAATGTCATGTCCAGTTGCCTAACAGAACTTAACCTTCAACCTTGACCACGACCTGGATGACTGAGAATCTTCGTAGATATTTATGACACAACTTTTAACCTACGTGAAACACTTAATAAAAATAAAATTACACACATGTATGGGTCGTGAATTTTCGGCAGCGTTACGCCTGTGGTGTGTTATGCTCAGTTTAATATTTTAAATACATGCATGCGTGTTTTAAAAATAAATGTACCTCTACGCTAATAAATTGTCTAACAGAAGAAAATGCAATTTAGTAGTTTACACTGGTTAACTATCGTCTTGGGGTGGGGGTCAGTGATCGTTCAATTGGTCACTATATCGTAGTTGATAGAACACGAGTTACAATCTTGATAAAGAAAAATTGACACTTGGAAAAATAACGTTGTTGTTAACAAACCTCTCTCTTTCCTTTCACTGAAGCCATACAGCGGGTCGAAGGAGGGCTTATCCGTACATATCGGCTCGGTGTCTCTATCAGTGATGTATCGTCTGACCAGATGAGCACCCATTTGTGCCAATGATTGTTAGACACGAGTTGCTGAATTTAATAAGCACAATATTTCCCCGTTTTATGATAATAACGTCGCGTAACAATGGCGCTGCTAGGTGCCTCTCGGTCACCTCCACACTGTTTCAGCTTCCGCTTGTTACCGGAAATAAACATCAAGATAGTGCATCAAAGAAACAACTCCTCCTTCACTTTGGTAAAACGAGTTTCTGACCTAATGTCGTCAAATAACCAACATTTTAAAATAACTATAACAAATAAACAGTATTCAAAAACAGCGCCAACCAGACTTTTCTTTAAAACAAGGTTTTAACTGTGGGACTCTGTGCAGCCAGCGGAAAGCACTGCACGTCGTTGGACGTCAGCATTTAATCATGTATGTAGCCCAAAATATGTGTTCTTGGCACATCAGTAAAGTAATTTACCCAGAAGCCAGGTGAAGATTAACTGCAACAATCGACAATTTGACAACCAGTGAACATGGACTATTTGCTACTGGTTTAACAAGCGAATATATACTCATGGCAACAAACAGAAAAATAACGTTTTAACTAAAGGTGGTAGCGATTGTGGACTATGTTGTGCATGCTTTTGTTGAATGTCCTGACATTTCAGCAACAATGCGCAGAACATGCACTCTGTGTAAGACACTAGATTTGCAGAGAATGCCCAAATTGCGTGATTGCTGGATGATATGGCTTACCATCGCCATCTACTGGGAAATGTAAATCACAACAGCCATAGCTGTTAACAGAGAGTTCATAGAATAGAAATGTATATGTTTTTATGAAAATTCACAAGAAGCAGGGGGTGGAGGGTGGCTCGGTTTTGGTGGAAACTCGCCAAAACTTCCATTGTTTTATTTAAGTGTTGAGCACCAGCTGATCAGTGTGGCGGGCTGCATTAATTAAAAAATCACTCAAAATGGGGCCCCCAAATGTGGGACCCTATGCATAGTATATGTTCTGCGTCGTTCCCAACCTTATTTGGCTTGCGACCCCACTTTGACGTCACAAACTTCAGGTGACCCCAGAGCCTTATTTTCTATCTTTTTGATCATATATTGTTGTGTTGCATTGACAGGATAGCCAGGTTAGTGCTACAAGCACTGTAATGAAAAGTATTACAGTGCTTTAATTTCAGTTTTCCATGTATTTTTTGTTAATTAAATACAGTGGGGCACACACAACCAGTAAAACCAAACACAGTAAATCATTATGTCTAATAATATTTCCAAGTGTATAGACATATATCTTTGCTCGCATGCCTCTGGAGTACTTGGTAACATGCATAACAACATGATTTTTCACTTGTGACAGAAATCTGTGTGCTTGTAGGTGTATTAGGAACCAAATTCGTCTCTTCTTCTTGTTTACCTCCTGGGGCATTACAGGAAAGATCAGTTCAAGTCTGTAGTTGCATACAAAAACACTATATTATTATTATACAATTTTGGCAATATAACATGTGACCTCACCTGCACCCTTGGTAGTGGGGTCCAAAGTTATTGTTTTTGGTTGCTTCACGAGTACACCATTGGGCTGAAAAGATAGGCAAGACATTAGGTAAGACAATTTTAAGGTGTAATGATCAAAAATAAATACATAATGTAATAAAACATGTATCTGTGTACAATTACTTTGGAATTGTATGTAATATCATACATGTTCTAATCTAATGTGTAATGGTTGCTCAGTACTTTGCTCAAATCCTCCTTAGTTCACCTTAGTACAGCAAATATTTGATTAAACCTCTTTCCTTGCCCACTTCTGATCAGCTCATGTTCAGGCTGTTTGGGTATTATCATTAAAGAGTGGACTTTAGAAGGTTGTTTGTCTGGTGTAACCTGTTACAAATCAAACAGGGTTTGTTATTATAGAGCAGCTGCAGATTTCCTAAAAATGGGATAATACCGAGTTTGTGTAATTAAAACTTTTTAATTATAATAATAATTAAAAATTCATGAGGAATGTGAAACTGTATTGTTTATTAAAATATTTCTAGTATGTCAGGACAGACTTTAGACTGAGACTGCTGATTTTTTGCAATGTGGAAATATAGATCATTATTATTTTTTAAATTTAAATTTAATTTTTTTTAAGTAATCCTTGTGGTGATGTTTACTCTTAAATTTCTTGTACAGTGTTTGATCCACTGCATTAACATTGGTGAACAGAAATACAAATTATTAGACTGAACAGAATTTACATCTATAAATTTGATTAATTCTTCATTTCAATCAAGGGAAGAGGTAAGTCTGTAATGTTGGAACTCCAAAAAGCTTTTGCTAACGGCAGAATTTACACAAGTCCACCACACTATTTGTGTATGTATGCATGTGTTTTCCATGTGTGAATATATGTGAAGTTCCACTGATTTAGCAAGAGCTGGGAACTTTAAGGTGCTTTTAAATACCCTGTAGATTTACATAGAGACACAAAATAATATAAAAGCAAAAAACAGCAATAAGTGGTTTGGGCATTTTTAATACAGAAATCTGTTTTTCATGCCGAGTCTTATTGATGTTTGTTATTTTCCCGCAAATGTCAGATAATGGTTATCTCAAATGAAGTTTCTCAACAGCTGCTGGGAAACTGTGTCCCCATGTTTACATATGTACACACAACTTTCAGGGGGTGAATATAATGAGTCATTTGGAACAGAGGGAGAGGAGGGGGTGTTAGAGAATAAGAGGGACAAGCTGCAGGGTAACAGACTACATCGGCAGCAGCACTTGATAAGGAAGGAGGATGAGTAGGTCTTGGTTGTGGCTTGTGGCCACTGCAGCCTTGGTGTCTGCATCTTCTCTGGCTAATGCATCTCCACTGTGAGTTTTACTGACCAAAGAAGTAATGTAGAAAACATTCTGTGCATAAAATCTGGGAAAACTGTGAGCTTTATTTTTTGTCATGTTTTTTATTTTAAAAGTTTCCTGCATATAAGCTGTTAACCCTTAATTGTAGTTTTGTATCCTTTACATAGGTGAGTCAGGTTAATGTGGATGATGAAATAATCGTCAGGCTTAGTCAAAGTTTGTTTTAAATGTTCATAGTGATGTTACAACACACACCGCAAACAGTGTAGAGATGTGTGGAGCTGAATTGATCTTTTGCATTCATCATTGGTCATTAATCAATCCTGGTACTCAATGTCCATTCTACAGCTGATGATTCTCTTCTGTGAATGCATTTTTATTTATTTAAATCAATGCTAATTTAATTGCAAAGAGGCGTTCTTGTTTTTTATTACCATATATTTTCTTAAATTCTGTCAAAGTAATATGTGTAGTTGTGAAAATATAAATGCAGCCAAAAGTGACACATTTACTTTCCAATGTGTTTTCATGAGCACTTCTACTTGTAGAACGTAGGGCTTTCTGCATTTCAATAAGGCTTCCTCTTAACAGACATGTCAATGAGTGATAACAAAAACTTAAACTCCTACTGTATTCTGACCTGCTGACCTGTAAAAGCCTTGTAATCGAACTAAAAGAGTCCTATGAAGCTAAGTAGAGCTTAAGTTTGGTAATTACTACTTTGGTATAAATAAGATATACGACAATATGTACACATTACTTTAGGTATTGCTAAGTTATAGATAGATAGATAGATAGATAGATAGATAGATAGATAGGTAGGTAGATAGATAGATAGATAGATAGAATACTTGACATAACGTGACATGTCTTCAACTAATTTTCTAATACTGTCTTTCTTACACTTTGCAGAAAGGTGATGTCTGCCCCCAACTTGTTGCGGGTAGGAGCGAAAGAAAACATCTTTGTGGAGTGTCAAGACTGTACAGGGGGAGACATTTTGGTCATAATTAATGTTATGAACCATCCAACCAAAGCTAATACTCTGGCAACCACATCTGTAACCCTTAACAGTGGTAATGACTTCCAGGCATTCGGAGAAATTAAGGTAAATAAAATGTTTTCTGAGGAACACCTTAACATCCTTGTCCTACTGTTAATGCTTATTCTGCTTTCCATACATCATTCAGATCCCTGCTGGAGAGTTTAGCAGAGATGCCACCATAAAGCAATATGTGTACCTGCAAGCTCAATTCCCTGACCACCTGCTGGAGAAAGTTGTCCTAGTTTCCTTCCAGTCTGGGTTTATCTTCATCCAAACAGATAAAACTCTCTATACACCCCGAAGTAAAGGTAGTACATAATCTCTTCTAAACAATACACACTTCTACGTAGTTATGACACAAATTAATTTGGTGTTTGTCTGCATCAATATATGATAGGTTTAACACCTGTAGCGTGAAGCACTTTGAGCAATCATCACTAGAAAATTTTTTAAAAAAATGTACTAGTGGTGTACCGTCAATGCCAGCAAGACCTTCTCTGCTGGCAGTTTCAGAAACAATTACTTAGTTTTTCATTAAATCTATCATAAATATTTCTAAAATAATTCAAAGTAGTCTGTCCTCATCATTCATTCTCGCTATCAGCTTCTTCTTTTTTTTTTTTTTGGTTGCGTTGCATCAAGTCACGTATACTCAAGGTTGTTTGATTTAATCATATTACAGCCTCATGTTTTGCCAGTGTGAAAGAAATCTGCCCTACAGCCTTCAGTATCAGTAGTGTGGGCGATGGGAGCATACAGTTAATGGCAATTAGATTGTTTCTTTTGCCGATGAGAGGTTTAGTTGGCCACACCAAGGATTTCTAGCTGGTGTACAGTTACGTCGGCGGTGGGAGGGATTTAATTGGATGAACAAAGAACCTACAGTCTCTAGCTAGCGCTTTCATTTGTGGAAATGTCATTTTTCTGTGTCCATTGCTTCTGTCAAGTAGACATTCTCAACTAAACTGAATTAAGCCTTCAACTACAATGCTAATGTTTTTTTGTACATTACATTTCATGTCACAATAGATAGTTTTCCAATGACGTCACGCTACTACCCATAGTTTCGTAGTCCGCCATCTTGTGTGGCAAAAGAGCGTATAGATAGATATTAAATACACAAAAGAACACCGATAATGGTAAATACCTGTGTTGTGTGGGGTTGTACCAACCGATCTGGGAATTGAGATCGCAGGTTTATTTAGTTTATTCATAGACTACAATGTTTATAATCGTCTGCTGCCATCTAGTGAAAGAGTATTTAATTGTTGTGCCAGTCACTGTGACGTGGACCAACGAAGAAAAAATATTTGCTATAAAAAGTTGAAATTTTGGATCCGTCAGAAAATCTCACGGGAGCGGTCGGTTTGAACTTTGCTCCTTTTTTTTTTTTTTACATCGATCCGGACGTAGCTTAGACTAAATGAAAACAACGAATATGAAGCGCTATTTCTAACTAGTGTGTCGAAAGACATGCAGGCCAGGGAAACTAGACATACAAAACAATACGTTCTCCCCTGCGGGACGAGAGAAGACAAGACATTTGCATTGAGGGAACAGGCAGGACTATAACACACGTCACGGTTGTGGGATAAATTGTCAGAAATTTAGCAGAAATTCAGGATGAAGAAAGCAGTCCCGGGCAGGACTTTAGCACAAGTGTTAGGGAATCACTGTACTACTACTATTGAACCATTTCCTTTTCCTCCCAGTTCTTTACAGAATGTTTGCAGTGACACCTCGTATGGAGCCAGTGGAGAGAGAAGAAGACTTTATCATTGACATTGAGATGATGGTACTGTATATATTATATATAAATAACCAAAGCTTTCTTTGGTACTTCTTCCCACGTTTTTTCTTGGTTCGTTTGTTAGTCTCACAGTTTTGTTGTGTTTTTACAATGTTTTTTTAAGACTCCTGAAGGCACCATTTTGCCTATGGATTTCTTCTTTCCAACATCAGGAATCTACTCAAGTGATTACCGACTCGGTGACAATGTGAGGTAGGTTTTAATTAGCAAAATAGTAATTCATACTGTGATATTTAACAATTAAAGCAGAAGGAAAGTGAACTACTTGTCAGCAAAGTGAACAGTGGGCGGCTTTATGCGCCCTGGGAGCAGTGTGTGGGGACGGTGCTTGCTCAGAGCACCTTGTGGTAACTTGGCAGCTGGTGGAATCAAACCTGAAGCCTTCCAGACCCAAGTCCACTTCCTTAACCACTAAGTCACCACTGCTGTTGAAACTAGAGCAGTGTTTCGCAATCTTTTATGAACCATTGCACGTAATACATTCAAAATTACCCACTGTGCACAACCAAACACAATTCTCAAAAAGTATATGTAATGAAACATTATGCTCTTCTTGTTTCAACTTAGTCACATTTTATTGACCCAGTATGACCATAGTTTACCACAGAGTTGATAAACTGCCAGGAATTGCGATAAACAGCTCTGGGTCTCTCTCTAGTTTATTAGATTATTTTAGATTGAACCCCATTAATCCTAAACGGGGTAAATTGTTAAGTTGAAGATTTGAAGGGTATTTAATTATTTTCGCTTTTACTGTAGTATTTATAAACAAAGACTAATTATCTGCAGTCCAGGGATCTGGAAATTGGTGGCCAAGTTCCGCAGTAACCCACAGCAGAGCTACACTGCAGAATTTGAAGTCAAAGAATATGGTATGTCCCTTTATTGGATATGTTTTTGCTGTAAAAATGTATTCACTTACTTTTGTGTAGAGAATAATCTCAATTTTAATTTTCAGTGCTGCCAAGTTTTGAGGTGAAACTGACACCTGTGACCTCTTTCTTCTATGTGGACAGTCCAGATCTCATTGTTAACATCAAAGCTGAGTAAGTTGTTTTTGTCAATTAGTTTAATAGAACTTGTTTTATCATGAACTGGGTGGAATAAAAAATCACCAGGGATTTAGTTACACTAGCCCTAAAACAATTTTCATGTGTGTTTTCAGGTACCTGTTTGGTGAATCTGTGGATGGCACTGCTTATGTAGTATTTGGTGTCATAGCTGAAAATCAAAAGAAAAGCTTAGCCGGCTCTCTTCAGAGAATATTGGTATGTTGTTATAATATTTTCACTTTTTTGTCACATCATATAAATGTGCTCAACAATGACAATAAGATGGTTATTCTGAATAGATGTCTTATTTTTTCAATGGTACCTGGTAATGTGTGGCTGTAGTAGTATGATGTACTAACTCAAATGTACGATTCTTATTATGTCATATTAGGTTGAAAGAGGCAGTGCAGTGGCTACACTGAAGAGGGAACACATCTTACAAACCTTCAACAATATCAATGATCTGGTTGGAAAATCACTGTTTGTAGCCGTCAGTGTGCTGACAGACAGTGGTAAGAAAAGACCACGTGACATCGCCATATTTTTATGTTGTATTATAATGTCACAAACAACCCAAAAAGTACTGTCAGACAACTTCAAGAAAAAAAGTAGAAGAAAAGTGAACTACATATAAAAAAAAATAAAGACTTTGTTAATAATGTCACGTACGCATGTTTTTGTCACCTCAAAGGTGGTGAAATGGTGGAGGCAGAATTGAAAGGCATCCAGATCGTCACATCCCCTTACACTATCCACTTTAAGAAAACACCCAAATATTTCAAACCGGGGATGTCGTTTGATGTTGTGGTAAGAAAATAACACGTGTTAAAATGCCTTAAAACACCTGGCCTAAGAGTGTACAGCTGATTTATTTTTTTCCAATGCCAGGTTGAAGTTGTGAATCCCGATGAATCCCCAGCATCAGGTATAGCTGTGGTAGTGGGGCCAGGTCATGTAGAGGGTTTAACTGCAGACAATGGCATTGCAAAGCTGACCATCAATCCGGACGCAAATACAAAAAAATTGACTGTCACTGTAAGTATCCATAACATATGTTCATTTCTTTGTTTTTACTTCATTTACTGTTGTTACTGAAAACATTCCCAACTTAAAAACAAAAATGAATATAACGCAGGTACTATTACTAAAATGCCAATTTATATAATGTAACCACTATTGAAAAATTTACTTGTACGTTTAGTAAAGATTTTATTCTTTATTTTGTGATAGTTTAGATTTACTTTAAGGTACTATGTTTTTAGGTTTCTTCTACTTAAGTGTTTCCCTACCTTTAATGAACCACAGCACATAATTGAAAAAAATCCCAAGGCGTACCACCGAACAAAAATGTCTCAAAAAGTATATGTAATGAAATATAATGATCTTGTACTTGCAAGAATTAAAGAAAGACACACATGAAGATCTTCTTCAATGTAGCTCAGAGCCAAATCTCTTTTAGTGTTTGTAGTATTTAACTGTTAGACCTGTCACTGCCAAATTACTTGCAGTAAATAAATAAATGTTTTCAGACCAAATAAGTAAAATCAGATAATGTTCCGTGATGCAGTGGTTGGGAATCACTGCATTACTGACAGGATTAGTTGACCAGACTTGAGACAACTTCAACATCATTATATAATTGTGTTCATATGGTGATGTGTTTGTGACTGTTTTCAGGCAAAGACCAACAAACAGGGATTGTCAGCTGACAGACAAGCAAAAGCCACAACTGAAGCTCTACCTTATAAAACTACAAGCAACTTCTACCTCCACATAGGTGAATGAAATCTTAAATAAAATCTAATAGTAACAAACAGTTTTGATAGTTTGCTTTCATACTAGAATTCCAGTCCTCATTAAAGAAACTTTCTGCAGTGATGGATACAGCAGAACTCAAACTGGGGGATAACCTAAAAATGCTCCTCATGTTTAACAGGCGGATAGACCATGACACAGATATCACATACCTGGTGAGATACTATTTATGCTACAGTGTAATATATATTGTACTGTATAAACTAATCTTTGGATTATTTTCTTAGGTCCTGAGTAGGGGTCAATTGGTCATTCACAAACGTTACAGATCAAGAGGTCAAGTTCTGATCTCTCAGAACATTCCCATCACCAAAGAAATGCTACCATCATTTCGCATCATCGCCTACTTCCATCCAAATGACAATGAGGTGGTATCAGACTCTGTCTGGGTGGATGTCAAGGACACTTGCATGGGCTCGGTAACATTAAACACACACTGATGTGACTTGAGTAAAACATACAGTATATCTTTCAACAAGTTTCTAACTAACATTTTTTTTTAATCAAGCTGAAGTTGGAGTCATCAAGACCAGCTCCTTCCTATGAGCCACGCAAAATGTTTGGTCTAAAGGTGACCGGAGACCCAGGCGCAGTAGTTGGACTGGTGGCAGTTGACAAAGGCGTTTATGTCCTGAATAACAAGCATCGCCTCACCCAGAAAAAGGTCAAGAGTTTTTCATGTTGCAGATGCACTGCATCATTTGTGATAATAGAACATGTCAGAGGAGTGACTATGTATTGTATTGTTTACTAAAAGACAGAATTCACGAGCTTTAGTATTTCTGACTCTAACTGTCCCTCTCTTTCAGGTCTGGGATGTTGTTGAAAAGTATGATACTGGCTGCACACCAGGGGGAGGAAAAGATGCCATGAGTGTGTTCTATGATGCTGGGCTATTGTTTGAGTCGAACACAGCTTCAGGCACTCCCTACAGACAAGGTGATGTGGAATTGTAAATATTTAATTAATTGCTAGAGATTTATGGGATCACAAAAGAGGATTATGGATGAAACTGTTGTAAAAATAATGAGGGGAAAATAGTGTAATATTTTGTAGGTTATCTCAACAGTGCTTTCATATTTTTCTGTATTATTTTCCCAGAAAAGAAATGTCCCACGGCCAATGGCAGGAGAAAAAGAGCCAGTACCACAACAGATGTCACTACGAGCTTAAGTAAGAAAAAAAACTAAAAACTAAATACTGAGTGATGTTTATTTTAAATATGAAAACTAAAATGAAATTGAAAATTGAAAGTCAAGACATTTACACATAAAACTTAAAAGAAGTGTAACATATACACTCACCTCTTCTCAATATACAGTTTTCCTTCTATATATCGTGGTTTTCCTTTTGCTTCCTCAGTACAGATTTTTTTTAATCTGCTCTCACGGCATTTTTCACTATACCACGATATTTTATGGTAAATAAAAAAAAATCAATTTTCCATATATATTTTCATTATTTGCTTGAAAAATAATAATTTTCTAGCTTAAAAAGGGAAATAACAGTGTATAAATGAACAAAAAGAAATTTTGCAACAGACATACAGGGTTATGCAAAAAAACAAACCTACAGTATGTAGTGAGCATCTAATTAATGTAGGGTAATGAACTAAGTTGGACACAAGAGAGCACTGTTGTTGATGTCTGTGTAGGTTCTCAGTCATCCAGGCCGTTTAATCCAAAAAATAGTTACATCTAAAGCAACTGGACAAAGTTTTTTTTTTTTTTTTGATGTTTCACCTTCATCCAAGAGGCTTCTTCAGTTCTGACTGACCTCTGGGAAATTCTGGTATTTAGCCTTCAGGGGGCTGCATACCTGTACCGAGGGTCATTGCAGTAAGGGGGATGGAGATGTGGTGGACCTTACCCTATTCTAAGAAGGGCAGAATGTAAAGTCACAAGGTTGTAGGTGTGAATGGACAGTGGTACCAAAGCTATGGACCAGTAGTTTCACCTGAGTGACACAATTGGCACGGTGGGTAGTCACCTTCTTTGTAAAGATGTGGTACTTTGGCGTGTCTAAACCCGCGATGCCTGCGTTTCACAGCAGTCGCTGCAGGATGAACGTGGCCAGGCCCAAGGCATCACTGTTGCTCTCGAGCGAGATCAACTCCCTGAAGATATGTGATCACGATGTTCTTGACGATTATCGTCATACATTACCTCACAGCAAACTCATCATCTTCATCCTAGAATTTCAACTGTCCATGTAGTATCTGTTTTCTCATTCATAATTTAAAATTACATTTACCTTTTCATGTGCATTTTTCATGGCCGTGTATCTAATTTATTTATTTTGTACAGCATGTCTTATATTTCCATTATACAACTCTACTGTGTATATAATTGTGTTGGAAAGGGTAATACAGTCTAGGCAGGGTTGATAACAATGTGGGGCAGGTTTGTAAAGGGTGAATATAAACGTAAATAATATAATAACTGTCTCGCCTCTACTTCACAAAGTTTCCCATTTCTCTGTGGGTCTTGCAACGCAACTGCCGCGGTAGGAGAGTGACCACTGTTTAATGAATCACAATAACAACAAGCTTCCTTGTAGAGATATGTATTCTTTCTCCCTTTCTGCTCCTGGACTTTGCTTCCCAGGGAGTCAGAATAAAAACAGTCTACAAAGAAAAGAATGGACATGACAGTTTAACAATCCATTTAAATCATTTCTTTATATCTCCAGGTGAGGAGGAGGACAACAGTTACATGGACAGCAATGAAATTGTTTCTCGCACCAGTTTTCCTGAAAGTTGGCTGTGGTCAGACATTACATTGCCCACTTGCCCTAGACACACACCAGACTGGTAAGAAGAAAAACCTGAGACAAAAAAGAAGCACACAGATAATCTTTCATTGTTTTCAATTTCAAACTGTCTTTGTTTCAGTGAGACCACAACATTCACAAAACATGTTCCATTGCAAGACTCAATCACAACCTGGCAGTTCACTGGCATTAGCCTTTCAAAGGCCTATGGTAAAGAAAGAATTCTGTTGTAGTTTGTAACCTTACAGTACTGTGCACACCTCGTTTTAAACCTCTCTTAACTTTCTGCTTTATCTTCCTCTGCCTCCTCTATAGGAATCTGTGTTGGGGAGCCGTTTGAAGTGATTGTCAGAAAGGAATTTTTCATTGATCTGAGACTTCCTTATTCTGCTGTTCGAGGAGAGCAGATAGAAATTAAAGCAATCCTTCACAACTACAGCCCAGAACTAATCACTGTAAGTCTTTGCTCTTGCTTGTCCTAACTAGTGTTAATCAATCAATCAATTCATGTAACACCTTTATTTTTCCTTACTATTTAAAGGTGCGTGTGGATCTTTTGGAAACTGAAAACATATGCAGTTCAGCATCAAAACGCACAAGGTATCGTCAAGAGGTCAATGTTGGGGCTGGTACTACACGATCAGTACCCTTTGTCATTATTCCAATGAAGCACGGTCAATTCGATATTGAGGTGAAAGCAGCTGTAAAGGACTCATCCATGTATGATGGAGTGAAAAAGAGTCTCCTGGTGGTGGTAAGAGAAACTGCCACACAACTTTTTGCACCAAATAATCTCAAAAGCAGTTTTAAAGTAGGCAACTGGACTCACCTCAGGTAAGTGTAAGACATTTCGCCTCTCAATATATCAGTCATCTGACTGATGACTGATATATTGAATCATATTGGAGACCTGGATGACTGAATGTCCTCAAATATTTGCACCAAAATATAGTAGATTAGAACATGCATGATATTACATACAATTCCAAAGTAATTGTACACAGATACATGTTTTATTACATTATGTATTTATTTTTGATCATTACACCTTAAAATTGTCTTACCTAATGTCTTGCCTATCTTTTCAGCCCAATGGTGTACTCGTGAAGCAACCAAAAACAATAACTTTGGACCCCACTAGCAAGGGTGCAGGTGAGGTCACATGTTATACTGCCAAACTGTATAATAATATAGTGTTTTTGTATGCAACTACAGACTTGAACTGATCTTTCCTGTAATGCCCCAGGAGGTAAACAAGAAGAAATCCTTAACAGTCGAATTCCAGAGACAAATTTGGTTCCTAATACACCTACAAGCACACAGATTTCTGTCACAGGTGAAAACGTTGTTGTTATGCATGTTACCAAAAAAATATATGTCTATACACTTGGAAATGTGTGTGTGTGTTAGACATAATGATTTACTGTGTTTGACTTCACTGGTTGTGTTTGTGCTTAGGAAGGGAAAATATAGCTCCACTGGTGGAAAATGCCATTAGTGGACAATCAATGGGTACACTGATCTACCAGCCTTCAGGTTGTGGTGAACAGAACATGATTCATATGACACTGCCAGTCATTGCAGCTATATACTTGGACAAAACCAACCAATGGGAGTCTGTTGGATTTCAGAGACGAAATGAAGCTCTGGAGCATGTAAAGACTGGTAAGACCACGCAGAAGACGTTATGGCTGAATTGTAATTAAAACACAAACTCTGTGACTGACTGAGGTTCACACACATGCACACAATCTCATACACACATACATTTAAGGACAATATGTTCTTGGACTGTACAATAATGACAAACGTACAGTCAACACTGTATACAATCTGTCAGTTGTATGGCCAAAAGGTTTTATATTATTCAGTTTTTCTTTAATCCAAATGTTTTATTTTTATTTGCCTCCAGGCTTTAGAAATCAGTTGGCCTACTTAAATCCTGATGGATCTTTTGGCGTGTGGCCCAAAAGACACGGTAGCACCTGGTAAGGCATTAGGGGCAAATAAATGCTAAATGTATTTAAATGTTTGCACAGATGTGCCATTTGTTCTTAAGCATCATTACGTTGTCTCTATCTCTTGCAGGCTGACAGCCTATGTTGTTAAAGTGTTTGCTATGGCAAACAATCTGGTGCGATTGGATAAGAATGTGATCTGTAATGCAGTGAAGGTTTTGATTCTCAAGGCAAAGCAGCCCAATGGCATGTTCAAAGAAGTTGGCAGTGTTTCCCATGGAGAGATGCAGGTGTGTAAACTATGATTGTTATGACATATCTGAAGAAAATGAAATAAAACACCTTTTACATTGATCATTTTTTATAGGGTGATGTACTAGGCTTGGAAACACATGCCTCCATGACAGCCTTCTGCCTGATTGCCATGCAGGAGTCAAAACTTTTATGTCAAGACACAGTTAATGTAAGTATTGTCTTGTCACACAACAGTTGTGATGTCATTTGAATTTGTTTGAACTATTTACTCTTAACAAATACATTCTTCTAATTTGCTTTTCTTTTTTACTCTCTTAAATTCCAGACTCTTGCCAGCAGTATAGACAAGGCAGTGGAATACCTAACAAATCATTTGCACACCTTAACTAACCCATATGCTGTTGCCATGACATCATATGCCCTGGCAAATACTCAAGGATTTGACCGAGGAATCCTCTTCAGGTTTGCTTCTCCAGGTATTCTAATTACTCCTCCCTTTATGTTTATAATTTATATTGAAACGAGTAGGCAGATTATTGTGATAATGGGTAAATATTTTATAATAATAATATAATCATTTAGCCATAAAGTCTAAAGACAAAAAAAATCCATTGAATATTAATTTTAATGATGATGATAGTAAAAACCCTGTTTTGTTGTAAACTGGAAGAATAGGAAATTCTCAATATCATATAATCTGAAGGAGATGAATTTTGGCATAAAGTTTTTCACAATAATCATAGAAAACCAGACAGTTTTAAGGGCCATAGCATAAAACCCTTTCAACCAGAGAGTCAAATTCACCTGAGTGTGTGAGTGTGACAGCTAACAGAGGGAAAAAGAAGAGGTGAGAGCAAAAAGGGGACGGGAGAAGGTTTGGGGCAGTAGGTGTAGTTTTGAAGTAAGAGGAACCTAGGGTAAAGTAAGGACAGTGAAAGAAGAGGGAGCAGACGAGCACAAACAAGTGGAGGAAAATAAATCTTATCATGACACTAACAACAAAGTCAGAAAGTACTCTTATCTAAACAACTTCACACATTATCCTCCTCAAAGGACCCCTCACTTCCTCCTTACTAACACCCCATACTTTCTGATTAACCACCTGTCCATCACTCTTTACTTTCTCTTATTTTTTTCTATTCATAATGCTCTATCCATCCTCTCAGTACAGTATCCTAATTAACTAGCCCCTTGTACATTGCAAGTAGCATGATGGCCTTCATTTCCATTCAGTTCAGAAACCACTTGCAGACAGAGCAAGTGAGAATATGTGACAGCTGTATTGGCTACAGCCTAATGGGAAATCACAATACTCCTCCAGAGGGGAGTCCAGATACCACCAGTTGTTTGCATACCGTAGCTTTAGAACCATTGTTGTAGGTCACTCCAAATGTCCTTCCTTTTTTTCCCTAGAGCTGTCACACTGGATTTCCCCCAGAGGACACATTTACTCTCTGGAGGCCACAGCTTATGCTCTTCTTGCTCTGGTGAAGGCCAAGGTGAGCTTTTACCTTGTTTGGAGCCCATCTGTGTTCAATAAGTATGAGCATGACAAGTTACCCAGTTGATGCAGTGAAATCACAGTCTATGCCAAGTCAGTAGAAAAAAAGTACCTGTCTTTGCTCTGGTCTCCTTTAAGTCTTTCTTACCACCTCCTTTTAAAGCTTTTTGAAGAGGCCAGACCTGTTGTCAGGTGGTTTAACAATCAGCCGAGGAGTAATGCTGGCTTTGGATCAACTCAGGTAAAACCTTCTTTCTGAATTTTACTTTTTGCATTTTCAAGCAAGATGAATTTTGTCTTCATTTATTTGAGTCCATAGATCCAAAATAAGTAAAATATATACTTCAAATGCAGGCCACTATTACGGTTTACCAAGCTGTATCAGAGTACTGGGCTGCTGCTCAAGAACCAGAATATGATCTGAAAGTGGACATTCATTTGCCAGGCAAGGCATTGCCGGACCGTCTCTCCTTTACCAGGGCAAATCACTATACCACAAGAACGTCTAAAGTAAGAATGCACAACTACTTCTACACACAAAACTTCAGTAGCTGTCCTGAGATTTCAGAAATATTTTTTCCGATCTGTGTATTCTTTAAATCTCTACAGATCTCAGATATTAACCAGGATGTGAAAGTGACTGCAGAGGGATCAGGAGAGGCCACACTGACTGTATTTAACATTTCCCTTCTGAGCTCTGACAGACCAAATCCATTTGTACTGCACTATTGAGGCAAAAGTCTGGGAATACTAAAATGGATTCTTTTTCTTATAAACAGATGGTGTCGTTGTATTACGTTCTGCCAACAGAGAAAGAAAGTGACTGTCAAAAGTTTGATTTGTCAGTGGAGCTCATTCAAGGTACTTCTGTAGCACCATTATTGTATGCTTCACCCTTCCTGTTATGTATACTTTTGTGCTCACTCTGGAACTTGCCTTTTCAGAGAAAACAGATGAAAAAATATACAAACTGAGAATTGAAGTTTTGTGAGTACTAAAGGTGGTATATGATGCAGGGTATTCACTTAAACTGTTATTTTTTATTTATTGATTTTTTAAAATGTATTTTTCCAGGTATAAAAGTAAAGACAGAGATGCAACAATGTCAGTCTTGGACATTGGCCTACTGACTGGATTTACTGTCAATACAAACGACCTTGACCAAGTAAGAGCTTTAACTAACACACACTCTCACTAACAAAGATTTCAAAGACCAGTACATGGGTCCATGTAAAACAAAATTACTTTTGCTTGTATGTAGTTGACCAAAGGACGTGCCCGCACTATCGCTAAATATGAGATGAATACTGTCCTGTCAGAAAGAGGCTCCTTGATTATCTACCTGGACAAGGTTAGACAAATCTCTGACCTTTATTTCTCCAAACATTTCCTTTTTGTAACTGTGTCCATCTCTGGTTTATTTTACACTCCTCTATGCAGGTTTCTCACACTACACCAGAAGAAATCGTTTTTAGGATACACCAGACAATGAAAGTGGGCGTCTTACAACCAGCCACTGTATCAGTCTATGAATATTATGACCGTAAGTCTCCTAAGGCACTTGGATGTCAAAGCAGGCATATAGGTAGACACCTATATGAATACACCTACATAATGCTTTCTTTTTAACTGCAGAAACAAGTTGTGTGAAATTCTACCACCCTCAAAGGATGGCTGGAGAGCTAATGACGATGTGCACAAATGAAGAATGTACCTGTGCAGAAGGTAAAAAGACATGGTCAACATGACGTTTGGTTCAGTAATTATAAGAGAGTATGTGTTGGCCAAGTAACTGTAGTTCTAATACATTGTGTTCAGCACATCCATGACTGTGGTTATTTTATCTGGGTATTATCAGGTCTTTATGCATATCTATATCTCTCTTTATCTATTCCATCCACAAGTTTGCTCTAAAATGGTCCAAAGCTAATCTAAACCCAAAACCAATTCCCAAATGTCCCTGGTAAATGTGTAGAGATGGACTGAGGTGATTTGCTTTTGAACCAAGTTGTTGGTAATAACAAACACAACCTTGATAACTTGCCACAAAAATATTCTAGAACACTTGTCTACATCTGTAAGACACATAAGGCTGATCTGAGGGGGTCATGCCTCCCCTCCTCCTTCCTAGTACCCTCTGCACCCATGACCAGCCTGATGAAAGATTATAAAATTAAATATGTTCTCATAAAAACACAAAGTATGTTTACAACAAATGCATTTTAAAATGTTCTCTGTAGGACTACCACATAATAGGGCATCAAAACAGATTGCTGTTGGTTGTGATTTGAAGAGCGTGTCAAAGCATCAAACTCCACTCAGTTGATGTCAAAGTTGCTAAAATCTTCAATATGTGTCTTTTGTGTTCTCAGAAAACTGCAGTATGCAGCAGAAGAAAGGAGTCAGCACTGAGTTGCGTATAGACAAAGTTTGTGAGAGAGATTATGGTAAGGGTTCTTCTATTTTTTAATGGACCTAAGTTTTATTTCAACAAGAGATTAGGACTATAGGTGTAATTTCTGTGTTCACTTTACAATTACATTACAATACATTTAGCAGATGCTTTTATCCAAAGCGACTTCCATTATGAGTACGTCAATCAACAATCAAGCTAAAGTCTTCTTTTCCTTTCGGCTTTGTCCCTTTTTTTCAGGGGTTGCCACAGCGAATCATTGATTTCCATCTCTCTCTGTTCTCTGCATCTTCTCCTCTGACTCCAACTATCTGCATGTCCTCCCTCACTGCATCCATATATCTCCTCTTTGGCCTTTCTCCTACCTGGTAGCTCCATCTCCAACATTCTTCTACCAATGTATCCACTGTCCCTCCCCTGCACATGTCCAAACCATCTCAATCTGGCTTCTCTAGACTTTTCTCCAAACCTTCCTGTCTGTGTTGTCCCTCTAATGACCTCATTCCTGATTCTGTCCATTCTTGTCACTCCTAAAGAGAATCTTAGCATCTTTAACTCTGTCACCTCCAGCTCCTCCTCCTGTCTTCTGCCTATTGCTACCGTCTCTAAACCATACATCATGGCTGGTCTCAATAATAAATAGTAAAAGTACAGTTATAATCATAATAGATCATAGAGTAAGAAGAATAGTATGTCATAAGAATATGTCATAAGGATAGAAGGTCATAGAGTAAGAAGAGGTGCATGTTAGATGTTAGTGGGTTTGTTAGGATACGATTTGTTCCTATCCTGTTCTTTGAAGAGAAAAGTTTTTAAGTACTTCTTGAGAAACGAGAGGGAGGACCCTGCTCTTTTTTCAAGAAGCACTTAAAAACTTCACAAAAATCACTTCCTCACTATCTGTCTCTTCCTATCATTTGTTTCAGCCTCTCACCTGTGTCTTTGTCTGTCCCAGTTCTTGCGTCCTGCTTTACCTCTGCTCCTTGTCACTTGATTTCTTACATTGTTTTTTGTTTAAATCCCTGTTTTTTAATTAGTAAGTTTGTTACAGAATTTGAATGTTTTTGAATTTTGATTAAAACCTTGAACTTAACTTCAGTGTGCTGTTTGTGTGCTGCATTTGGGTCCTGACAACATTTTTTCACAGTAGGTAGACAAAAAGATAATGATACGACTAATTTGTCCCCAGTGTACAAGGTGAAGGTTGTGGAATTTACAGATGGTTTGTCCACTGATATTTACACAATGGAAATTCTGGATGTGATTAAAGAAGGTAGGTAATATTTAATGTGTCAGTGTTCACATAGGGACATGTGGGAATGGTTTGATAGTGAACTTTGACACTTCTGATTTCTCTCCATTGTTCTTCTCACAGGGAGTATTGATAGTCCGATCCATAAAACCCGTAAATTTCTGAGTTACCCACATTGCAGAAAATCTTTGGGTCTGGAAGGTTCTAAAGGCAAACATTACCTAATTATGGGCGCCTCAACAGATACATACAGAGATGAAAACAATACGTGAGTTTGTGTACACTCTGCATATCTCTTCCTTATACACATGTGGGGTCATAGTATAAAAATATTATATCATAACTATGGGCGCCTCACAAGATATACACGATATACACTGGTCTTTTTGAATCCAGTAAGTGGCCACAGTTAAGTTTTGTATGATGAATAAACTTGAAACCTGAAACCAAACACTGCACTTGGGTCCCACCCACTTCTTCACACCAAAAAAATTGTATTGGTCTAGATTTGGTTAAATACAACTAGAACAGCATGTTCTTAATTTAGTCCAATGGGTGTTTGTGTAATGACTTGATTTTTAGGTAATTCCCTCAGAACTTTTTCTTCTTTCTGTACAGATACCAGTACGTGCTTGGTGAGCAAACTTGGATTGAGTACTGGCCAACAGTGGAAGAGTGTCAAACAGAGGAATATAGAGCAACATGTATGGGTCTGGACACAATGGTGCAACAATACAGAATCTTTGGATGTCTCCAATAGCACAACCCAAGGATGCAATTGTTTGTTTCCTCTTTTTTGTAAAACATTAACTGTTTTAAAATATAAAGGTTTGGATTCAAATGCCTTTTAGTTTTTCTTTTTTTTTTTTTGTTCCTAAATTGTAGTTTTTGTTGTCTTGCACATATCTTTGCTGTAGTGTTCTGCTCTTTAGAGATTAATCTGAACAGTTTAGTTCCTCACACAGACTTCCATGAATTTAAAGACTCTGAGAAGTGGACATTATCTCATTTTTAAAACTGTAGTGTACTGTAAACCGAGGTAAAATGACAAATGAAAATTAAAAGACATGGTTTTAATTAGCTCAAGGACCAAGATATGTAGTAACTATCTTGGTCCAATAACTAGTGTCAGGTACAAATAACTGCAGATTTACAAACTGCGTGTGTATTTTGAAGAAAAAGTGAAGTAATTGAAAAATTGAAATTATACTTGAATTTAGAAACTAATTGTAAACTTGCTCTTTTATATAATGCGCTAACCAACTGAAACTGTTCTTCAACAAGTTTGATTCGGTAACTGGTACCCAGTATCTACCTTATTACCAATTTTCTGATAATCAATCCATGAATGGAGGTTGTCTCCTACAGTGGTTGGGAATGTCTTGGGGCAGTGGTCTGGCAGTGATGTTCCCAGTTTGGACTGCAGAAGAAGACGGAAGACACATCCTCAACTATGTACCAAGGAATTATTGGATGTCCAGTGGTGGAATTTGAAACAAATTCCAACCATACAAAGCACCTGCATCCCACCTCCACTGGGTGCATGGACACTTTCCAGCTCTTCTTCAGCTGCCAGGTTCGCGTAATGCAGCTTTTTCCTTTTATATGCCTCATCGACAGCTTGACAACTTAACAATGGAGATGCATCTGCAGGATTTTGATCAGAGGACAGGTCTGGCCGCAGGTTGATTGCAGCGATTTCCGTTGGGTCTCGAGCTACAATCAGCGAGGATGTGTCTGAAGGTTCCCGTTTGGTCGGTTGCTTCTCCCCTTCCCAGATGAAGGATGTAGGTTGCCGAAGGGTTGACTTGGCTTCTAAGGGCAGGGCATTGGTGGTAACCCTCCTTATCTCCAGTTGAGCTGCCAAACACTTCAGCACTTGGTTATGGCACCAGGTGTATCTACCTTGTGTAAGGCTAGAATGTGTTTTACCGATATATATTTAATATATTATTATAGGCCCAATACTAGCATATTTTGTAATAATAAATAATAATGAAAACCGGGTAACACAATGCCTGGGTTTCATCAAATGATCTGTGCCCTAAAAATAGTGCAATGCCCTGGCGACAGGCCAGTCAGACGCGTCAGTACTCTGAAGAACTTTTATGGAAACACAATTGCAGTAACTCGTTCTAAACTCCTTTATTGCTCTCAACCCAGCTTCTCCAAAATCTTCCTCGTACATACACGCTCTCACCACACCTCCTCACTACCACTCCCATATCCGTAACTGTTAACTCCTTCATAACATTTGAACATAGAACTTTATGAATGATGCTGGTGCCAGCAACTCTTACAGTGGTTCGTACAGATACATAGGGGAGGGGAGAAAATAATTGAGAAACACTGCTTTAAGTGATGGGTTAAAGCACTCAACTCCCACCACTTAACTCCCACCATTGCCCCGCTATATCTGTATCAGTTGATATTTAAGAATTGGAAATTAAGTGTTTGGACAATACGGCATATCAGATATCTGCAAAAAGGTTACATCAAATATCCCTAGTAAATTTCCTATAGAGTCTCTGGCTTCCCTGGCAGCTCTGCAGAAACAGATGACATTATTTTATGTGATTTAGATTATTTGAGGATTTTAAATGATAACTCTAATGATTTCAAAAATCATGCCTACTAAAACATTTTTTATTCTATAAAAGATCATGTTTACAATTAAAAATCTCTATTATGTTTTTCAATTTAGTCATTCAATACGATTTTTTTTATTTTAGTACATCAATCTTGAGGGACCAAATCCCCTGGTTTCTGTCACTTTATTAATGGCATATTTTATTGGCCATTACCAAAAATATTAAACATGACTTTATTGTTTTTCTTCCAACCTTCACAGAAAAATAAAAGCTTTAAAGCACTAACTGATTTGTTAAACTGCTGTTATTTATACCCAGTGACACTAAATATCAATCTTATCAAGCTAATTAAAAGTTTGTCCTTTTATTTCCCTTTGTCATTTTACCCCACTTTACAGTACACTACTGTTCTTAAAGTGAGATAATGTCCACTTCTTTAAATTCATGGCAGTCTGTGTGAATAAACTAAGGAACCAACTCCATTCAGATCAACACACTACAGCAAAGATATGTGCAAGACTACAGAAACTACAAATCAGGAACTAAAAAAAAAAGCATTTGAATCCAAATAGTGTTTTCAAATCTTTATATTTCAAAACAGTTCATGTTTCACATGGTTGATGCAGAATTCTTTCAAAAATGGAAACAAGTAATTGTATCCTCTAGAGTTGTGTTAATTCATACATCCAAAGATTCTGTATTCCTGCACCATTGTGTCCAGACCCTTACATGTTGCTCTATATTCATCTGTTTGACACTCTTCCACTGTTGGCCAGTACTCAATCCAAGCTCGCTCACCAAGCACATACTGGTATCTGTACAAAAAGAAGAAAAAGTTCTGAGGGAATTGCATAAAAAACAACACAAGTCATTACACAAACACCTTATGGAGCCATTTGACTAAATTAAGAGCATACTGTTCTTGTTTTTTAACCACATCTAGACTGATAAAATCCACAGTTTGGGTTAAAAACTAATGTAACTATTCCAGGTTTTTATACTATGACCCCACATGTGTATAAGGAAGAGATATGCAGAGTGTACACAAACTCACGTATTGTTTTCATCTCTGTATGTATCTGTTGAGGCGCCCATAATTAGGTAATGTTTGCCTTTAGAACCTTCCAGACCCAAAGATTTTCTGCAATGTGGGTAACTCAGAAATTTACGGGTTTTATGGATTGGACGAATATCGATACTCCCTGTGAGAAGAACAATGGAGAGAAATCAGAAGTGTCAAAGTTCACTATCAAACCATTCCCACATGTCCCTATGTGAACACTGACACATTAAATATTACCTACCTTCTTTAATCACATCCAGAATTTCCATTGTGTAAATATCAGTGGACAAACCATCTGTAAATTCCACAACCTTCACCTTGTACACTGGGGACAAATTAGTCGTATCATTATCTTTTTGTCTACCTACTGTGAAAAAATGTTGTCAGGACCCAAATGCAGCACACAAACAGCACACTGAAGTTAAGTTCAAGGTTTTAATCAAAATTCAAAAACATTCAAATTCTGTAACAAACTTACTAATTAAAAAACAGGGATTTAAACAAAAAACAATGTAAGAAATCAAGTGACAAGGAGCAGAGGTAAAGCAGGACGCAAGAACTGGGACAGACAAAGACACAGGTGAGAGGCTGAAACAAATGATAGGAAGAGACAGATAGTGAGGAAGTGATTTTTGTGAACTTCTTTCCATTTCTCACCCATCGATCATACTGTGCAACTTCTTTGGTAATAATGTTTGAGTATTTGTTAAAGTTTATAACTAAATATTTAAACAATTATTAGTTTTTTTGTTGTTGTTTTGTTTTGCATGCATGCATGAGTCACAGAATTACACAGCCTCCTCCACAAGCTACAGCAGAAAACCAGCTTAATTTTTGTTTAACCAGAGACGGAACATAACCAATTACATTTATTCACGTTACTCTATTTGAGTAGTTTTTGTGAGTAATCTGTAAGTAGTTTTGGAAAGGTCATTTTACTGTACATTTTGACTGAGTGTTTTACTTCGCTACATTAAAAAAAAATCCGTTGAGTAAAAAAATAAAAATGAGGGGGAAAACAAGCTGCATTTACTGTGCGTGGGCGCGCGCGAATTTCCCACTAATTAATGTCGCCAGACAACGTTGGTTAAGACACAATCTATCCTGTCGTTGAATGATGGCTGGTGCCGAACAAAACTGGAGGTTGAGGATTGCCAAGAAGAGCGCACCCTACTCAGAGACTGAATGAAATTATTGGCCATATCTCAGCCACCTCTTTGTTTTCAAATGCAAACGAGGAAATAACTTTATCATGCGGTGCACGGCGGAAAGAGCTGTCACTGTCGAAACGTCCACGTCAAACCCGCGGAAGCATGTGGCGGTAAGTAGAGTATCTGTGCTTTTGCCTATGTTTCCCAAAAGTTATGTATATTCTTTGGTTAAAACCTCTTTCATTATATCGATTACTTTCGCCTAGCTTAGCATCCATCTGATAGCTAACGTTTCAGTGCAGTAGAGCACTACCACAGCACAGTCAGAAATAATACAAGTGCATGAGTGCAGTTGGTCTCTAATGAAATCATCTTAAATTATGTAAAATAGACTACAGGTGTTGTAGCCTAGGCCAGAGGTTTTCATTAGGTGAGGTGCGCCTCCCCTTGGAGGGGGACAGGGGATTATTTGCTGTTATTTTTGTGTGTTACGGTAACAACAGTAATATGTACGTTTGACTGTTATCATTCACATTTTTCTGTTTTATGTATTATTTGCAAAACTTAATATATTATCTCGGGTATTTATTTTTGGAACTGCAATATTTCTTAGTGACTACTGTATAACTGCAAACTGGACAGTATAAATGTTAAGAAACAGCTTCAACTGTTATCTCTGTTACTATAGCACTATGCTATACCTTATTCTTATATCCTGGTCTAAACACTGCTGCTGTCAGCACTGTGAAGTTTATTTGTCCCCTGTTGTGGAACAAATAAAGGACTTTTTAATCTTAACATAATAACAATAACATTACAATTATATTACAGACAAATGATTATTGATACATGAGTTATGTGTCAGTGATAAAGTCCTCAAAAACTGTTTCTTTTTACCTTCTGCACAGGTACATTCTTCTTTAGTGCACAGCCTCATTAGCTCTCCGGCAAGTCTTTGAGGGTGGTAGAATTTCACACAATGTGTTTCTGCAGAAAGAAACTCATAGTGAAAGAAAGCATTATGTAGGTGTATTCATATAGGTGTCTACCTATATGCCTGCTTTGACATCCAAGTGCCTTAGGAGACTTACGGTCATAATATTCATAGACTGATACAGTGGCTGGTTGTAAGACGCCCACTTTCATTGTCTGGTGTATCCTAAAAACGATTTCTTCTGGTCTAGTGTGAGAAACCTGCATAGAGGAGTGTAAAATAAACCAGAGATGGACACAGTTACAAAAAGGAAATGTTTGGAGAAATAAAGGTCAGAGATTTGTCTAACCTTGTCCAGGTAGATAATCAAGGAGCCTCTTTCTGACAGGACAGTATTCATCTCATATTTAGCGATAGTGCGGGCACGTCCTTTGGTCAACTACATACAAGCAAAAGTAATTTTGTTTTACATGGACCCATGTACTGGTCTTTGAAATCTTTGTTAGTGAGAGTGTGTGTTAGTTAAAGCTCTTACTTGGTCAAGGTCGTTTGTATTGACAGTAAATCCAGTCAGTAGGCCAATGTCCAAGACTGACATTGTTGCATCTCTGTCTTTACTTTTATACCTGGAAAAATACATTTTAAAAAATCAATAAATAAAAAATAACAGTTTAAGTGAATACCCTGCATCATATACCACCTTTAGTACTCACAAAACTTCAATTCTCAGTTTGTATATTTCATCCTCATCCATTCTCACTGAAAAGGCAAGTTCCAGAGTGAGCACAAAAGTATACATAACAGGAAGGGTGAAGCATACAATAATGGTGCTACAGAAGTACCTTGAATGAGCTCCACTGACAAATCAAACTTTTGACAGTCACTTTCTTTCTCTGTTGGCAGAGCGTAATACAACGACACCATCTGTTTATAAGAAAAAGAATCCATTTTAGTATTCCCAGACTTTTGCCTCAATAGTGCAGTACAAATGGATTTGGTCTGTCAGAGCTCAGAAAGGAAATGTTAAATACAGTCAGTGTGGCCTCTCCTGATCCCTCTGCAGTCACTTTCACATCCTGGTTAATATCTGAGATCTGTAGAGATTTAAAGAATACACAGATCGGAAAAAATATTTCTGAAATCTCAGGACAGCTACTGAAGTTTTGTGTGTAGAAGTAGTTGTGCATTCTTACTTTAACAGTTCTTGTGGTATAGTGATTTGCCCTGGTAAAGGAGAAACGGTGAGGCAATGCCCTGTTTGGCAAATGAATCTCCACTTTCAGATCATATTCTGGTTCTTGAGCAGCAGCCCAGTACTCTGATACAGCTTGGTAAACCATAATAGTGGCCTGCATTTGAAGTATATATTTTACTTATTTTGGATCTATGGACTCAAATAAATGAAGACAAAATTCATCTTGCTTGAAAATGCAAAAAGTAAAATTCAGAAAGAAGGTTTTACCTGAGTTGATCCAAAGCCAGCATTACTCCTCGGCTGATTGTTAAACCACCTGACAACAGGTCTGGCCTCTTCAAAAAGCTTTAAAAGGAGGTGGTAAGAAAGACTTAAAGGAGACCAGAGCAAAGACAGGTACTTTTTTTCTACTGACTTGGCATAGACTGTGATTTCACTGCATCAACTGGGTAACTTGTCATGCTCATACTTATTGAACACAGATGGGCTCCAAACAAGGTAAAAGCTCACCTTGGCCTTCACCAGAGCAAGAAGAGCATAAGCTGTGGCCTCCAGAGAGTAAATGCGTCCTCTGGGGGAAATCCAGTGTGACAGCTCTAGGGAAAAAAAGGAAGGACATTTGGTGATGGCCAAGTGGCGGGCGTGTCTAGGTTTCTAAACCTAAGAAATTAAAACTTTTAATAATCAATCAAATAATAATCAAAACATGTATTAGTCTTTTATGGAGTAGTTACATCTTTACCAGCGGTCCGCAACCTTTTTCATCCTTTATCATTCAAAATAAAACATCTTTTAGACTATATTCTGTTTGTATCAGAGTGAATGACCAATTGGTTTGAAACATTGCCAGATTATCTTTAAATAAAGAAAGTAATATACTGAATGACATGGTTTTATTTGAATGAAGTCAATTAGTAAAAATTACGTTTTTTTTTTTTTTTTGTCCCACTGTGGCCCTGTACCAAATGACCTGGTTCTGACCAATGGACTGGTACTGGGCCGCGGACCGGGGGTTTAGGAGCCCTGATCTATATAGTCTTCCATTTACAAGCGGCCCTTCAAAGGGAACTATATTGCTGATGTGGCCCCTGGTTAAAATTAGTTTTTAGACAGGTTTTTATGTTTTGAATGTTTCAAATAAAACCAAATAAAAAAGAATAATAACTTGTATAACATTTGTATATTTTTCATTTGTATATTGCATATATTAAAGGCGTGGAGGAGAGGATGGATAGAGCATTATGAATAGAAAAAAATAAGAGAAAGTAAAGAGTGATGGACAGGTGGTTAATCAGAAAGTATGGGGTGTTAGTAAGGAGGAAGTGAGGGGTCCTTTGAGGAGGATAATGTGTGAAGTTGTTTAGATAAGAGTACTTTCTGACTTTGTTGTTAGTGTCATGATAAGATTTATTTTCCTCCACTTGTTTGTGCTCGTCTGCTCCCTCTTCTTTCACTGTCCTTACTTTACCCTAGGTTCCTCTTACTTCAAAACTACACCTACTGCCCCAAACCTTCTCCCGTCCCCTTTTTGCTCTCACCTCTTCTTTTTCCCTCTGTTAGCTGTCACACTCACACACTCAGGTGAATTTGACTCTCTGGTTGAAAGGGTTTTATGCTATGGCCCTTAAAACTGTCTGGTTTTCTATGATTATTGTGAAAAACTTTATGCCAAAATTCATCTCCTTCAGATTATATGATATTGAGAATTTCCTATTCTTCCAGTTTACAACAAAACAGGGTTTTTACTATCATCATCATTAAAATTAATATTCAATGGATTTTTTTTGTCTTTAGACTTTATGGCTAAATGATTATATTATTATTATAAAATATTTACCCATTATCACAATAATCTGCCTACTCGTTTCAATATAAATTATAAACATAAAGGGAGGAGTAATTAGAATACCTGGAGAAGCAAACCTGAAGAGGATTCCTCGGTCAAATCCTTGAGTATTTGCCAGGGCATATGATGTCATGGCAACAGCATATGGGTTAGTTAAGGTGTGCAAATGATTTGTTAGGTATTCCACTGCCTTGTCTATACTGCTGGCAAGAGTCTGGAATTTAAGAGAGTAAAAAAGAAAAGCAAATTAGAAGAATGTATTTGTTAAGAGTAAATAGTTCAAACAAATTCAAATGACATCACAACTGTTGTGTGACAAGACAATACTTACATTAACTGTGTCTTGACATAAAAGTTTTGACTCCTGCATGGCAATCAGGCAGAAGGCTGTCATGGAGGCATCTGTATCCAAGCCTAGTACATCACCCTATAAAAAATGATCAATGTAAAAGGTGTTTTATTTCATTTTCTTCAGATATGTCATAACAATCATAGTTTACACACCTGCATCTCTCCATGGGAAACACTGCCAACTTCTTTGAACATGCCATTGGGCTGCTTTGCCTTGAGAATCAAAACCTTCACTGCATTACAGATCACATTCTTATCCAATCGCACCAGATTGTTTGCCATAGCAAACACTTTAACAACATAGGCTGTCAGCCTGCAAGAGATAGAGACAACGTAATGATGCTTAAGAACAAATGGCACATCTGTGCAAACATTTAAATACATTTAGCATTTATTTGCCCCTAATGCCTTACCAGGTGCTACCGTGTCTGTGATGCCACACGCCAAAAGATCCATCAGGATTTAAGTAGGCCAACTGATTTCTAAAGCCTGGAGGCAAATAAAAATAAAACATTTGGATTAAAGAAAAACTGAATAATATAAAACCTTTTGGCCATACAACTGACAGATTGTATACAGTGTTGACTGTATGTTTGTCATTATTGTACAGTCCAAGAACATATTGTCCTTAAATGTATGTGTGTATGAGATTGTGTGCATGTGTGTGAACCTCAGTCAGTCACAGAGTTTGTGTTTTAATTACAATTCAGCCATAACGTCTTCTGCGTGGTCTTACCAGTCTTTACATGCTCCAGAGCTTCATTTCGTCTCTGAAATCCAACAGACTCCCATTGGTTGGTTTTGTCCAAGTATATAGCTGCAATGACTGGCAGTGTCATATGAATCATGTTCTGTTCACCACAACCTGAAGGCTGGTAGATCAGTGTACCCATTGATTGTCCACTAATGGCATTTTCCACCAGTGGAGCTATATTTTCCCTTCCTAAGCACAAACACAACCAGTGAAGTCAAACACAGTAAATCATTATGTCTAACACACACACACATTTCCAAGTGTATAGACATATATTTTTTTGGTAACATGCATAACAACAACGTTTCAATTTTTCACCTGTGACAGAAATCTGTGTGCTTGTAGGTGTATTAGGAACCAAATTTGTCTCTGGAATTCGACTGTTAAGGATTTCTTCTTGTTTACCTCCTGGGGCATTACAGGAAAGATCAGTTCAAGTCTGTAGTTGCATACAAAAACACTATATTATTATACAGTTTGGCAGTATAACATGTGACCTCACCTGCACCCTTGGTAGTGGGGTCCAAAGTTATTGTTTTTGGTTGCTTCACGAGTACACCATTGGGCTGAAAAGATAAAGACATTTTTTAGGTACACTATGTAGGATTTGCAACATTTAATGCTGAGGTAACATTTCACAGCCCATAATATTCAACTACAATGGTATTGATTACAAAAACATAATAAAAAAAGTGTACAGTGTACAATGGTTTTTGAATTATATGCAAAGCCGTTGTACACTGTGCCTGTTTGTAGACACATTTTCTATCTAATATATTTTGGTACAAAAAAATTAGTGGCAGTTTCTCTTACCACCACCAGGAGACTCTTTTTCACTCCATCATACATGGATGAGTCCTTTACAGCTGCTTTCACCTCAATATCGAATTGACCGTGCTTCATTGGAATAATGACAAAGGGTACTGATCGTGTAGTACCAGCCCCAACATTGACCTCTTGACGATACCTTGTGCGTTTTGATGCTGAACTGCATATGTTTTCAGTTTCCGAAAGATCCACACGCACCTTTAAATAGTAAGGAAAAAAAAGGTGTTATATGATTTGTGATAAATTTGTATATATATATGTGTGTGTGTGTGTGTGTGTGTGTGTGTGTGTGTGTGTGTGTGTGAAAAGAGAGAACTGCCAAATGGCAGATCAGCCATTTAACCATAATGAAAGTAAAGATTGTATAAAATATTTAAAAAAGGTATTCATTATATTCAAATATTCAAAGTAGCAAAATGTTTACCAGTTTGATCAAATGTAGATGTAGAAAGAGGGCATTGACAACTACATTACTTTTGTAGCTTTTGCTACTGAAGAAAACACAGCAATCAGTTGTTTTATCAGCCTGTAGTAAGATGCTCACAAAATATCAGCGTATGCCAATCAGAGGTAAAGAATCTGTTGCACACATGCGGGAAAAAAACACTCTTGACTTTTTGACTTCGTCCAGGGGACGTCAACTTGTGCCAGTGGGATTGGTGCGGCATGGGATGTTTGTTTTTTTTATATCGGCCGGATATTAGCATATTTTGTCATATCTGTAAGAAGCAATATCGGTTTTTGGTCTGATAATGAAAACCTAATAACACAATGTCTGAAACATAAAACATCATGTGAATACTGTTAAATTTGTGTGAACTACCAGAAAGTTGTGATTAACACTAGTTAGGACAAGCAAGAGCAAAGACTTACAGTGATTAGTTCTGGGCTGTAGTTGTGAAGGATTGCTTTAATTTCTATCTGCTCTCCTCGAACAGCAGAATAAGGAAGTCTCAGATCAATGAAAAATTCCTTTCTGACAATCACTTCAAACGGCTCCCCAACACAGATTCCTATAGAGGAGGCAGAGGAAGATAAAGCAGAAAGTTAAGAGAGGTTTAAAACGAGGTGTGCACAGTACTGTAAGGTTACAAACTACAACAGAATTCTTTCTTTACCATAGGCCTTTGAAAGGCTAATGCCAGTGAACTGCCAGGTTGTGATTGAGTCTTGCAATGGAACATGTTTTGTGAATGTTGTGGTCTCACTGAAACAAAGACAGTTTGAAATTGAAAACAATGAAAGATTATCTGTGTGCTTCTTTTTTGTCTCAGGTTTTTCTTCTTACCAGTCTGGTGTGTGTTTAGGGCAATTGGGCAATGGAATGTCTGACCACAGCCAACTTTCAGGAAAACTGGTGCGAGAAACAATTTCATTGCTGTCCATGTAACTGTTGTCCTCCTCCTCACCTGGAGAGATACAAAAATGAATTAAATGGATTGTTAAACTGTCATGTCCATTTTTTTCTTTGTCCTCCATCTCTTACTGCGAGCCAGACGGAGCTGTTCCTCCTTCTGCTCAGCTCGATGGCTCTCTATCTCTTTGCAGCAGTGCAGGAAGGCATTAACACAGTCCAGACCATCGATAATGTACTCACTACGCCTTTCACAAGTGTATGTAAGAAGGGTTTCCTTCAGACCGTCTGTGCAGCATTCTCGTTGCAGGTCGTTTTTATACTGACTCCCTGGGAAGCAAAGTCCAGGAGGAAATAGAAAGAATACATATACAAACATTTAAAAAATATTATTGTGGCTGTATGCTTGATAAATTGCATTTAAGAGGTTTATTTTCCTTACTTAAGCTAGTAGTGACATCTGCTATAGTACTGGCTCTTTTTCTCCTCTTACTGGCTGTGGGACATTTCTTTTCTGGAAAAATATTGCGGAAAACAAAATATTACAAGAAAACCGTATTGTTGAAGTAACCTACAAAATATATTACAATACAAAACAATATATATTATTATAACAGCTATCAATCATCAGTCCATGGTCCTCTTTTGTGATCCCATAAATCTCTAGCAATTAATTAAATATTTACAATTCCACATCACCTTGTCTGTAGGGAGTGCCTGAAGCTGTGTTCGACTCAAACAATAGCCCAGCATCATAGAACACACTCATGGCATCTTTTCCTCCCCCTGGTGTGCAGCCAGTATCATACTTTTCAACAACATCCCAGACCTGAAAGAGAGGGACAGTTAGAGTCAGAAATACTAAAGCTCGTGAATTCTGTCTTTTAGTAAACAATACAATACATAGTCACTCCTCTGACATGTTCTATTATCACAAATGATGCAGTGCATCTGCAACATGAAAAACTCTTGACCTTTTTCTGGGTGAGGCGATGCTTGTTATTCAGGACATAAACGCCTTTGTCAACTGCCACCAGTCCAACTACTGCGCCTGGGTCTCCGGTCACCTTTAGACCAAACATTTTGCGTGGCTCATAGGAAGGAGCTGGTCTTGATGACTCCAACTTCAGCTTGATTAAAAAAAAATGTTAGTTAGAAACTTGTTGAAAGATATACTGTATGTTTTACTCAAGTCACATCAGTGTGTGTTTAATGTTACCGAGCCCATGCAAGTGTCCTTGACATCCACCCAGACAGAGTCTGATACCACCTCATTGTCATTTGGATGGAAGTAGGCGATGATGCGAAATGATGGTAGCATTTCTTTGGTGATGGGAATGTTCTGAGAGATCAGAACTTGACCTCTTGATCTGTAACGTTTGTGAATGACCAATTGACCCCTACTCAGGACCTAAGAAAATAATCCAAAGATTAGTTTATACAGTACAATATGCATCAGAGTCAAAGTCAACTTTGTTATAAATATGCCATACATACAGGATACATATGGCACAATGTAATTTCAGTCTTCTCTGACCCACGGTGTAAAATGGCAAGAATATAATAAAGTAGATATTTACAAGGGCAAGGAATATAAAGGTAACAGTATATGTACAATGTACAAAAGAAACCCACTTGTAAGAATATGTGCTGAAAAAGGACATGTGCTGTGACATCACTCAGTAATTACAGACAGAATGAACGATGACAGTGGTGAATCAGTGAAGACAGTAATGAATCAGCTTGTTCGGTTGAGGCTGAGGTAATACTTGGGATAGTGCAATACGTCACTGTAGCATAAACAGTATCTCACCAGGTATGTGATATCTGTGTCATGGTCTATCTTCCTGTTTAAGTTGAAGTTGATTTTTAGGTTATCCCCCAGTTTGAGTTCTGCTGTATCCACACCTGAAAAAATGAGGACTGGAATTATAGTATGAGATCAAAACTGTTTGTTACTATTAGATTTTATTTAAGATTTCATTCACCTATGTGGAGGTAGAAGTTGCTTGTAGTTTTATAAGGTAGAGCTTCAGTTGTGGCTTTTGCTTGTCTGTCAGCTGACAATCCCTGTTTGTTGGTCTTTGCCTGAAAACAGTCACAAACACATCACCATATGAACACAATTATATAATGATGTTGAAGTTGTCTCAAGTCTGGTCAACTAATCCTGTCAGTAATGCAGTGATTCCCAACCACTGCATCACGGAACATTATCTGATTTTACTTATTTGGTCTGAAAACATTTATTTATTTACTGCAAGTAATTTGGCAGTGACAGGTCTAACAGTTAAATACTACAAACACTAAAAGAGATTTGGCTCTGAGCTGTCAGTCAGATGCCTCAGTGCTCTGAAGAACTTTTATTGCAACACAACTGCAGTAACTCGTTCTAAACTCCTTTAATGCTCTCAACCCAGCTTCTCCAAAAAATCCTTTTCCTCCACTCACACATGCAGCATTGCAGCTCTTGTATTAATCTATTTTATTAATGAGTGGATTTTGTGCAGAATGCTGGTGCCAGCAACTCTTACAGTGGTTTTTACAGATAAATAAATAAATATCACCAGGTGCTCAATAGTATTTCAATTGAGGAGGGTGAAAAAATGTATGTCCTCTAGGGTGGCATGGTATTAACCCATCACCTTAGAGAGCAGTAAATCAGTATATGACAGTATCGGCATTTCGGATATTGGCAAAAAGTTCATATCAAACATCCCTACATACTACATTAAAATAAATTTTAACTATCACATTTATTACGTTCCTAAAGCATTTTAGTAATAGTAACTGCATTTCATTCATTTTTGTTAAGTTGGTAATGGAGGTTTTCAGTAACAACAGTAAATGAAGTAAAAACAAAGAAATGAACATATGTTATGGATACTTACAGTGACAGTCAATTTTTTTGTATTTGCGTCCGGATTGATGGTCAGCTTTGCAATGCCATTGTCTGCAGTTAAACCCTCTACATGACCTGGCCCCACTACCACAGCTATACCTGATGCTGGGGATTCATCGGGATTCACAACTTCAACCTGGCATTGGAAAAAAATAAATCAGCTGTACACTCTTAGGCCAGGTGTTTTAAGGCATTTTAACACGTGTTATTTTCTTACCACAACATCAAACGACATCCCCGGTTTGAAATATTTGGGTGTTTTCTTAAAGTGGATAGTGTAAGGGGATGTGACGATCTGGATGCCTTTCAATTCTGCCTCCACCATTTCACCACCTTTGAGGTGACAAAAACATGCGTACGTGACATTATTAACAAAGTCTTTATTTTTTTTTATATGTAGTTCACTTTTCTTCTACTTTTTTTCTTGAAGTTGTCTGACAGTACTTTTTGGGTTGTTTGTGACATTATAATACAACATAAAAATATGGCGATGTCACGTGGTCTTTTCTTACCACTGTCTGTCAGCACACTGACGGCTACAAACAGTGATTTTCCAACCAGATCATTGATATTGTTGAAGGTTTGTAAGATGTGTTCCCTCTTCAGTGTAGCCACTGCACTGCCTCTTTCAACCTAATATGACATAATAAGAATCGTACATTTGAGTTAGTACATCATACTACTACAGCCACACATTACCAGGTACCATTGAAAAAATAAGACATCTATTCAGAATAACCATCTTATTGTCATTGTTGAGCACATTTATATGATGTGACAAAAAAGTGAAAATATTATAACAACATACCAATATTCTCTGAAGAGAGCCGGCTAAGCTTTTCTTTTGATTTTCAGCTATGACACCAAATACTACATAAGCAGTGCCATCCACAGATTCACCAAACAGGTACCTGAAAACACACATGAAAATTGTTTTAGGGCTAGTGTAACTAAATCCCTGGTGATTTTTTATTCCACCCAGTTCATGATAAAACAAGTTCTATTAAACTAATTGACAAAAACAACTTACTCAGCTTTGATGTTAACAATGAGATCTGGACTGTCCACATAGAAGAAAGAGGTCACAGGTGTCAGTTTCACCTCAAAACTTGGCAGCACTGAAAATTAAAATCGAGATTATTCTCTACACAAAAGTAAGTGAATACATTTTTACAGCAAAAACATATCCAATAAAGGGACATACCATATTCTTTGACTTCAAATTCTGCAGTGTAGCTCTGCTGTGGGTTACTGCGGAACTTGGCCACCAATTTCCAGATCCCTGGACTGATAGCACACAAACAGACAACCACACAGACACAATCATACACAAAAAAATCAATAATATTATTTTCTGCTGAATTAAAAAAAAGTCCATTATTAGCCCCACAATGGTAGGTTCTTTTTGAGTTGAGAACCCAAAAAATTCTCAACTTTTTGAGAATTTTTTGGGTTGTGCACCGGGATGTTTCGAATGTAAAATGTATGCTGCAGATTAAACAAGACTGAGAAAAACCGGTCTACCTTTTGTAACATCTACGACCACTGTCCTTTAGTTGTTAAAGACCACAGTATGCTTTATTATTTCTCTGACAAAGAAATAACACTTACCTCACAATTTCACCGATTTGGTAATCACCAGTGAAGATTCCTGATGTTGTAGAGACTGAATCCACAGGCAAAACGATGCCATCGGGAGTCTTGGAAAAAATATTGTGAAAACACAAATTGTGAGCTAACCAAGAAAAAAAATAACATTTTCAAACAAAAGCCATTTTGACTAAAGGGACATAAATACAATAATAAAGTTCTCTGTCACAGTTGTTACTTAAGTATTATTTTTCTTTTTGTGGTAATTTAAGTAAATATATACAGTACCGTCATCTCAATGTCAATGGAAGTGTCTTCATCTCTCTCCACTGGCTCCATACGAGGTGTCACTGCAAACATTCTGTAAAGAACTGGGAGGAAAAGGAAATGGTTCAATACAGTGATTCCCTACCACTGTGCTGCATCACATCACTGTGCCGTGAGAGGTCAGCATGTGTACCATTCCAATTCATCACCAAATTGTGCTGAAACCTATTAGCTATTTGCAGCAAACAATTGGTCTTTGTTTGTCTACGTCACGGTGAAAGGCAGAACAATTCGATACTCTTTCACTAGGTGGCAGTAGATGGCTATATAAAAAAATAAAACAGGGTTCATCAGGGCTACTGAAGAACATCATCGTTTGGGTATTTGAGTAAATAAAAAGAGATCATTATATTTCAGTTCTGGGACTTTTCTAATGCAAAATGTGTAGTAAGGTTGAAAATTGGGAAATTTAATATACAAGTAGATTTTTAGATTTTTTTTTTTTCTAGCCCTGATGAATGCTCAAACCGCTTTATGTTGCAGCTGTAACAGGTGTTAGATTTCAGTGGTTTTCACATTTGGTTGGACACCAAAAGGCTTTCCCGAGCACACACAGTCACATAGCCCCACACATTCAAAGAGAATTTCCTTCTTCACACCAACTTTCACTCTAAAACAGCTCTACTCCCTGGGAACAATGGGGAACCTTCCAATTCACATTCTCACAGGGAACCCCGGATCCATCCATTCCTAATAGGTAATATCATCGGTACGTCAGACAAATGCCAACTCATTTGACTACGTAGAAGTGTGTATTGTTTAGAAGAGATTATGTACTACCTGTACTTCGGGGTGTATAGATAGTTTTATCTGTTTGGATGAAGATAAACCCAGACTGGAAGGAAACTAGGACAACTTTCTCCAGCAGACGGTCAGGGAATTGAGCTTGCAGGTACACATATTGCTTTATGGTGGCATCTCTGCTAAACTCTCCAGCAGGGATCTGAATGATGTATGGAAAGCAGAATAAGCATTAACAGTAGGACAAGGATGTTAAGGTGTTCCTCAGAAAACATTTTATTTACCTTAATTTCTCCGAATGCCTGGAAGTCATTACCACTGTTAAGGGTTACAGATGTGGTTGCCAGAGTATTAGCTTTGGTTGGATGGTTCATAACATTAATTATGACCAAAATGTCTCCCCCTGTACAGTCTTGACACTCCACAAAGATGTTTTCTTTCGCTCCTACCCGCAACAAGTTGGGGGCAGACATCACCTTTCTGCAAAGTGTAAGAAAGACAGTATTAGAAAATTAGTTGAAGACATGTCACGTTATGTCAAGTATTCTATTCCTAGAAGTTAAATACGAGGACATTATTACATTACTGTGCAAATTTGAAACAAACTTTGACTAAACTAGGAGATTATTTCATCATCCACATTAACCTGACTCACCCATGTAATGGATACTAAACCTCAATAAAGAATTAACAGCCTGTATGCAGGAAAGGTTTGGAGTTGAAATCATTCAACTTATATAATCATCAAAGTAAAGGTATTCTATTCATTTTTTGAGTGCTGGTTCCAGCTTTGTCAGTATAACAGTCAGTAAAACTCACAGTGGAGATGCATTAGCCAGAGACGATGCAGACACCAAGGCCGCAGTGGCCACAAGCCACAACCAAGACCTACTCATCCTCCTTCCTTATCAAGTGCTGCTGCCGATGTAGTCTGTTACCCTGCAGCTTGTCCCTCTTATTCTCTAACACCCCCTCCTCTCCCTCTGTTCCAAATGACTCATTATATTCACCCCCTGAAAGTTGTGTGTACATATGTAAACATGGGGACACAGTTTCCCAGCAGCTGTTGAGAAACTTCATTTGAGATAACCATTATCTACTGCTTGGGAAAACACAAACAACAAAAATCAATAAGGCTCTGCTTGATAAACAGATTTCTGTATTAAAAATGCACACGCTGCTTATTGGTTTGGTGCTTTAGTGCTTTTATTCTTATGACTTTTAATGTCTCAGGTTGAGGAAATTCAAAAATGACTTCAAGTTTCTAAATCAAATTGACATATAAGCATGCATGATTATGAAAACATACAGAACTAGTGAAGTAAACATTGTGTAATTTCTGCTGTTAGGCAAGGCTTTTTGGAATTGCAACATTACAAACCTCCCTCATCATTCGTAGAAATGATTAATCTATTATTACAATTATTTTTAATATATCAGACTTTTTTGTTACAAATGAAGTTTTCAATTGTTTTCAGTCTAATAATTTGTATTTTTACTTCAGTAGAGCAAACTCTGTACTGGAAATTAAAGATTAAATAAACATCACCAAAAGGATAACTTAAAATAAAAAAATATAATAATTATTTTTGAAATGTGAGAAAAAATTCTCACCTTAAACAGTCTGCCCTGACATTTTTGCTTCATAAATGTATGTTTTTATTCATGCACAAACATGGATATTATGCAATTTTCAGCTACTCCTGTTTGATTTATAACGGTGGGTTTCACCAGACAAGCAACATTCTAAAGTCCACTCTTTAAGGATAATACCCAAACAAAAGTGGGCAAAGAAAGAGGTTTAATCAAATATTTGCTGTACTAAGGTGACCCTGTAGGATTTCTAAAGGTTATTTATTAATTGGAAAAATACAAAGAAATAATTCAATAAATGCCATACTTTTTTTTATTATTGTATCCTTGGTGTGCACATTTTATTCCAAATGTTTTGATTGGATGGTCAACAAACAGACAGTCTCAAATCTAGTAAACTGCATTTAGCAACTTGCACGCCACTGCTTCTGTTGAGTGACCACTCTCAGGCTGAAGCTACAGTCATTAAAACGTATTCCATAAATACGACAAATGACAGACTGGATTTTCAGCATAGATGGAGATAGAAAAGGACTTAGATCTGGAACAGTTAATCTGTACAAAAGAGTAACTGATTTCATCTTAAGGAAAGAGAGGAGAATGGACTTTGTGTACAAATAATCAGAAGTTTTGGTGAGTACAATGTGTTTTGTCATTTTAATAATAATGTGTTTATCTTATGTTATTATTGATGCTTTTTGATGTACAGCAGTCGCAGCTGCATCTGAATTATGTATCCTGGGTTTGTTGTTTTCTTTCCTGGTTTCAAAATACATCCAAACTGCTGACCCAATTGCTGACCTGCTTAAATGAATACCTGTGAGCACAATGAGACATTGAACTACAGCAAGAAAACACAGGCGACCCATGAACAGCTGGTTGAGGTGAAAAGCTGTTACTGACTATCAGACTACAGACCAATGCTGCTTTGACTCATGTTTTTCTAGCATGAGGATTTTGAATGAAATATCGACCTGATACCAACACCTATTACATTCTGCTGAGAACGTAATTGGCTGAAACATTCCTTTCTTCTTTAGGATCCATACACATCCAAATGTTTTCTGAAGTTTGTTTGAGGGCTTAAAAAAGTGATTAAGTCAAGCTCTGAAAAGAAGAGCGGACGGAGATGACTATATATATTATGAAATACCATGCAGACTGATTGGACGAATAAAATTAGACAATTAATAAAGTTTTTTTTATTTTAGATTGCTTTTGCAAGAATACCCCTAGGATTGTAGTTGGATAACCCCCAGGCATATAGATAATGTTTTTATTTATTGATTATATGATTCAAGCAGTGTCACATCGCTATAAAAGTGGTAAACAAATAATTATTTGTAACCAGCCGGACTCCGGTGGGTGTGGTTACTCTTTGACGACGTTTCCTGCTCGGGTGAGCACGTGGTTCCTGTTCTGCTTCCTTTTACCTCCGCTTCTTCTCTGTTACTAAGGGTTTTCCAGACCGCCCTCTAACTCCTCCTTCTGTTCCGACATTCCAGCTGCGGTGTGATTCAAGCGTGTTTGAATATAGAAAGAGGGTGTTTGGTGTCAACTGCCTGAGGATAATGGAAAAGCAAGTGTGTTTACGTTCACATTTTCGCGACCGGTGCCTGATAACACTGCTACACAATACTGCCTAATTTTGGGTCATGACGCTGGAATCGATTCGCTACCGAGACGGATCTCTGCAGATCCTCAACCAACTGCTGCTACCACACCAGACCTCTTACGATAACATCCTCACGGTCCAGGACGCTTACGAGGCCATTAAGTCTATGAAGGTACGGGGACATCTTCTTCTCATTATTATCGTCCCCGTCTTACTTGTGGCTTACAGAGGAGCTGCACTCCTACAGTATGTCCGCTGTGCATGTGCTTGTAATAGACCGGTCTTTGTGCTCCTACTGCTGCCACTACCCGCTTGTGGGCTGGTAGATACCCCGTTTGTTGGCCTGCAAAACCCATTTGGATGGGCTGAGCAGCAACATCTTCTAAAGCCTTCACATAATTGGGGAAGCGCGACTCACGAGTTATTTCGACACGGCTACCAATCAGTGCAGTGTGCGTTCCGTTTCCATTTCTCTTCTTAAAAGGTGGAATTGATGAATTATTAATGAGCTTTGCTTGGGTTTTGTTCTCATACATAACACCGGTTTGGGAGTGCGGTATTAAAACTGATTTTAATCAGACCCATAAACCTCTCAGAATATTTTGTTGATAGATCCGCAAACCTTCCAGAATCTTAAGAATTGCTTTCAATGCACGATAAATACTTAACCTACCAGTATTTTGTACAATAATAAGTTGTGTTGTGTTATTGACGTGTTGTGATGATAATTGTTTAGACAGTGAATGAATCCTACTCTAGAAGTAAACAAACCCTTATTTCAGTCAAACTTCGCCAATATTTGAGGTATTTGGTGCAAGGCAGACAACCAAATTTGATTTCTTTTTTAAAAATAATATAAACACTCGTATCCATTACTATCCATTATCCATTACTTAAATGAATATAAAACGAATGCAATTGCATTGACAATGCATTAACACTTTATCAGGTTTTTGTTAAGCTTATCCCAATACTTTTCTTTTCAACACCTATACAAGTATTTAAATTGTACCAATACCAATACAAATGCTAATAAAGATATTTCTTTAGATAAGCTTCCAATAAATGTGTTAATAAACTGAAAGGCAGAGTTATATGAACATCATACTTTTATATATACTATATAATGTTTACATAAAAATAAAGATCAGTTAAATAAAACATTCTTTATAGGTAACACAGTCAGGAAGCAGAAAGTGAGCAAAGCTTCCCTCCTGATTTCACATTTGAATAAAAGAAAAGAAACTAAATAAACATTCTTTTCTATACTGCATTAAGTATAATGGTAAGTTTTACATATAGACAATGCATGTTAATATATACCAATTTATACAGGGAGACGACTATTTTAATAGCCTCTCTTCTCTTTAGGTGCGAGGTGCACCTGCAATTGGCATTGTGGGCTGCCTCAGCTTGGCTGTGGAGCTGCAGGCAGGTGCTGGTGGTGATGACCCTGTGGCCTTTATTAGAGACTCTTTGTATCACCTGACCTCAGCCAGACCCACTGCCGTCAACATGGGACGTGCTGCTCGTGAGTTGATAGAATTTGCAGAGAATGAGAGCATGGAGAAGAATTCGGAGCAACTTCGCGAAAGGTACGTTTTAAAGTGTGGATGGCCAGCTAAGGACATTGTACTAAAGCATTAAGGTCTTCCTCTAGTTTGTCTACATTTAGTCAGACAAGATTTTTTACTAGTCTGTCCGAAAAGCATGTGATATTTTTTTGAATTAATTTTGTTTTAGACACACCACAAAATGAGCTTTTTTGGTCAATGTACACATACAAACACATATAGAACCCACATACTCTAAATATGACAGTGTAAGATAAAGGTGGCTGTCGTTGGGTAGAGTAGTAAACTATGTATGAATGTGTATATATATAAAATATGTAATATATTTTATAATGTTATAATACAGTATATGATTATTATATATTAATATCTATATAATAAAGGGAGCACGCCATTTTAGAACCTTTTTATTTGACAAATAAATAAAATCCAATTATAAATACTAGACTCTTCATTAAATATAGCCTATCATAAATATACTTTATATAGTCTATATATATTATATATTATTTAGCCATTTTATATATATATATATATATATATATATATATATATATATATATATATATATATATATATATATATATATATATATATATATATATATATATATATATATATATATATATATATATATATATATACACACATATATATGTATATATGTATGCATATATATGCATATATATGTATAGTATATAATATATTAAATGGCTAAAGGTAAAACCCAGGTTTCCTGTTGTTTAAAACAGAACATCAACTTGTTTTCTTTTCTTTCTCTGCTTTTTTTGTGATTTTTTTTTTTCAACAGTTTTCACTTTTGGGAATATTGTCAGTATTAAATAAAAAGAAACACAAATGTTAATTCTGTTTACACAGTTAAATACCTATCACTCTCTTTCTTTCTCTCTCTCTCTCGGAATGGAAAAACAAGAAGATTCTAATTAAAATAAATACAAAGACAAGAATGATACCCTGCTGATATTTATGTGATAACTGTAACCCTCGAAAGGATTTATTTTTCATCATTTTATATCCCCGCCCCAAACATACAGTGTCATTTCCTGGATTGAAGACATGCTGGAGCGTGACGTCAATGACAACAAAAAGATCGGCAACAACGGTGCTCAACATATCTTGTCTGGTATACCAAGGGAATCGGTGACCATTCTCACACACTGTAACACTGGCTCACTTGCTACAGCTGGATATGGCACAGCACTAGGTGAGACTTGGGTCACTAGGTGAGCTGTGGGTGTAACTGGGGCCAGGAGATGTTAGTTAATATGTTGCATGTACTCTAACGGCCGTATGTCCTTTGTGTGTAGGGGTTGTCCGAAGTCTCCATGCACTAGGTAGGCTGAAACGTGTCTACTGCACAGAGACAAGACCATACAACCAGGGCTCCAGGCTGACGGCGTATGAGGTGGTGGCAGAGGGAATCCCTGCTACACTTATTACAGACAGCATGGCTGCACTTACCATGAGAGAGATGAACATCTCTGGTGTGTGTGAAGCAATTTTTGTGATGTATTACATAATTCCAACTTCAGTGTTTATAACTGGATCTAAAACTAGTGATTAGGATCATAAATCTTCTTTAGTGTAACTAATTTGCAAATGTATATATTTTTCCTTTCCTTTGATTTTTGTACCATAAATATTGTCTCTAGTGTCTGGTCTAATTATTGATTACTGAGAGCTAATTTGTCATCACTATCAGTATTAAAAGTAATAAACCAGGATGTTTTCTTAACTGGATGAACAGTGTGTCCTATAGACCTCAACAGGGTATTAGATCACTTTTTAGCATATGTAAAAACTACAGCTCACTTTTTCCTTTGTCTCGTGTTTTTTTTCTAGCTGTAGTAGTAGGTGCGGACAGAGTGGTTGCCAATGGTGACACGGCCAACAAGGTAGGCACATATCAGCTGGCTATTGCTGCAAAGCATCATGGGATTCCCTTCTATGTGGCAGCCCCCAGCACATCTTGTGATTTGAGCCTGGAGAGTGGCAGAGACATCATTATTGAAGTACGACCCCAAGAAGAGCTCACCAGCATAAATGGTGTGCCCATTGCTGCCAAGGGTAAGAAGCTGGGTCGGATGTTAGCTAGGCATTTGGGAAAGAGAAATCTTTTAATAAGATGGTCATAGAAAAGAAAATGTTTATTTTTTTATCTCTAATTGCTTTACTGTCACTGTACTATCCACTACATTCATAGATTAATGCAAATCTGTATAGTTGCAGATTTTATTGACTGAGATTTTTGGTTCTGAATGGCATCATCTAACGCAATGTATAATAGGCTTTAACATTAAATGATAACATTAAATGATGTGAACACTGCTTAGTTTTCGGGAAAAATGGCTGTAAATGAAAATAAGTCACTAGATAGCAGCATCAATTATTTAATCTTTAAATTTATTTTAATTCATTAAATTTCATTAATTTTAATAATCAGGGGATTGTGTGTAGAAGGTTGTTACCAGCAACCCATACAGTTTGTACAGATAGAAAATTAAATATTACCAGTCGGGGTGCTGGTAAAAACCTCTGTCCCATAAGGGGGTCATGGCAGAAAATAATTGAGAAACACTGCTTTAACCCATCACCTTAGTGAGCAGGCGGGACTTAACTTCACCACCACTGCCTCATTATATAGGTTGATATTGGAAATTGAGTGTTTGGACAATATTGGTTTCTTTATCTCTTCTCTTTATCTTTTGGTCTCTTTGTCTTTATCAAATATACTGTAATAAGCTTTAGTCTTTGAATGCTTAACCACCTCCGTTTTTCCTTACTCTCTGCTGAAGGTATCGACGTGTGGAACCCTGCATTTGACGTGACACCTCACCAGCTTATCACAGGTGGCATCATTACAGAGCTGGGAGTCTTCCTACCTTCTGAGCTTCAGGCAGCACTGACTGGGCGTCTCACCGCCCTCTAGATTTGCTCAGCACCTCCTTGTGTGTGCGCACTGCACTTTTGTATCACATTCTAATATCACAGAAACCAAATACAGGTGCAGAGGGTCACAATTGGTGTTTGACATAATTTTGATGATGGCACGGTCACTGTTATATGTCAGTGGTGATCAAAAACACTCAAGTCAATCTTTTCTCCCACACACATATGTACACTGCAGGGAGTTAAGCCAACACACACACACTTTTCATTTATCTTTTATTTTGTAGACATGTCTCTTAAGACTGGAATCAATTCAAATGTACATGTAATGCATCTACAAACAAAAGTTCAAAAAGCCAAATGCATTACTGAATTTTGATACATTTTAATATCTTGGTTTCTAAATTGCAGGTAACCATTTGTAAATATACCGGTTATTGCTCATAATTGTACATGTATATAATGTAGAAAATATTGTGTGATTGTTGATGGGTACAGCTGTTGTCAAACATCTATCTGCTAAATTAAAAGTTAAATCAAATAATTAAGAATTAAAAACAGAATTTTATAATTGGCCTAAACCAATGATAAAACAAGCTGGAACTATGTTATTCTACATTCTTTTCCATGTGTAACATCATACTTTTGTATTTATTTTGGCTTCATATTGTGTAAGTTGGGTTAAAAAGTGTCATTTTTGTGAAGTCCTGTTTGTGCCATTGAATGTGATTTTTACGGTAGTCCTGCCTTTCAGTGGGATAGTTCACCCCCAATTAAAAATCAAATATGTAATAAATATCTTCTCGTCAAGAAATGACTGTTATGCAAAGAGATCAGTGCAACTTTGTGAAAGTTGCAAATTAGAAAAACTGACAGGAAAAATCTAATTGAAATGAAAGTTTTTAACACTCCTTAAAAGCTCATAACTAAGTTTATCACTCTTAGAAGATGATGCTTCTGAAACGTTGGCTCAGCCCAGTTAAAAGTATATAATGATTATATTAACAAATAGTGAAAAAAAAGGCTTCTCTTTACTGTAACAAAAGTATTAGACTAAACTGGCACCAATGCTTATGGTGTTGCTAATGGTGATATATGTACATAAAACATTTTCTGGTGTATTTTGATTCTCTTCTCACTTTTTGTTTGGTACAGTGACAGTATCTCAGTGCAGATGAAAAGTGTGTTCATTAATGGTCTAGCACAGAGTTATACCACCTGGTCACTAGGGTTTGTATTGGCAAGAATCAAATGATACTATTTGTATCACAACACAGGGTCAACAATAAGATATATTGCAATATACTTAGATACTATAGGCACAACGATACACTGAGGTCTTTTTAAACAACTGAATTGTAGGAAAACTGTCTGCATAGTAAAGAAAATGCTGTTACATACTTCACATCAGGTTACAGAAATTGGAGCAGAGGGATCTACATTTGTAATCGCTAGAGAAGAAGTAAAAGCAAAATCAATTACCAATGCTATGAATATTTGCTTGTTATTTAAAAAACAATACAATGTTGTAGAATATCAATACAGTATTGTGTAACAAAATATTATATTATATGAATATTACAGTGTATTGATATTTTTTGGGCCATGACCAATTGAAAGCGAAAGAACTGATATTGAAACAAACATAAACATACATAAAGCATAATATAAACTTAAATAACCCTGAATGTTACAGCTTATACAGCAGTTCTGTTCAACCTTGTCAAAATGCAGCTGTAACACCACTCACAATGCATCTTTACATGGCATTATTTATTTTGGGAGTACTCTTTACACTGGCGTGTTTACTTAAGAGATTAAGTTAGACTTAAGGCAGCTGTGGGACAAAAGTACAAATGCAAATTGACTTACATTGTAAAAGGTAATGGTAAAAAGACTAGCTTTGGTCTGCTTGAAACATATGTAATGTAATTGCAACATCTTTAAGTAACTGCCTTGAGGATCTTCTTGGTAGTAGCTCACTAACTGGACATTGTGTTGTGGCATCCTAATTTCATGCAACTTTGAGGTAGCACTTGTTGAGAAGCTGTTGCGAGTAAATGAATACATTTCAGAGATCTACTGTAGATATGTAAGACTGATTATTTTGTTGTCTAACTACCAAACTTAGTGGGCAACTTTTCTGAAAAAACTTTGTGTCTCAGTTAACAGAAGATCTCACATACTGTCTAATCTATGCCTAAACTGAGTGAAACATCTGTCTGCCCGTTAGTGCCTCTATACAACAATATTTTACCTATTAGGTATACTTTCCAAGCAGTTATGAGCAGTTAAAGGAATGTAGATCAGTGAGAATATTAGTCAATCACCACCTTGTCTCACAAAATGGTCTCATAAATAAACATTTACGGAATTATTAGTGATGATTTTTTTATCATTAAACATAAATTGCTGCTATGGGTTTAATAGTTTAATTTAAGATAAGTTACGCGCGTTTACTAATGCCAAACAGTGGATGTGGCAGAGCACTAAACTCAAAGTTGACAGAATAGAAAAATAAAAGTAATAATTACCACCAGAGTACACAGATCACTTGGGAGACACGACCATCACACTTATATTACCAATAGGGGGCAGCAACGCACAGTACATCAGAATAATGAATACGCTGGCTCGTGCTTGTGTATTTCCGGTTAGCAAAGATGGCACAAGGTTCACAGAAGTTTAAAGCTCAGAAGCCTGGAATGTCCAAGAAACAAACTCAGAACAAACAGAAAGGACCGAAGAAAGGAGGTATGATTCTGACACCTCACCTTTGACCCGTTCCTAATAAAGAAAACGTTTCCGGGGATCTCGAGTCAAATAGCTGTATTTGTCCACGTGTTTTACATAAGTGTATAATTCGCCTTGTTATTAAACGTTTGAGGTTTCTGAGCTAAAGGAGAACATATTTACATTTTTTACGCATGTTACTGTTAAGAAAGTTCACAATATACCACAGCATTTACTGACTGCGCACCTGTAATAAATGTTCGCTCTGGTCCTATTTAAATAACGGCATATTAGTAAACATATTCCCACTTTCTGACAGCTCTGTCAAAAACAATACTTACATTCTAGTGTTGACAATTTAGTAACTTTTAGAATATACAGAGAAATGTTTTATTTGGCCTTAAACTAAAACAGGCAACCGTAACAATAGCTTAGCGTGTACGAAACATACGTCCTAGGTATTATGGGTATTTGCCTGCCTCCCTGCTGATTGGATCGTTAGGGGTCAGCGTTGTCATAACGTTTTTTTTACAAGCATTATTTAATCTTACTCTTCTCAATAGTTCACATTAACAGAAAAAGTTCTCAAACTTTTGTATGCCACTAGACATGTTGCAACTGAACAGCAAAAATGTTCCAAACTTGTTATTGCATAACATAAAATAGCAGTGTTATTATGAAGTAAGAAAATGTTTTTCGTATTCCACATAAAATGTTTAAATATCACTACAGTAATATCACTTGGTTATGGGTAGGGAAGGATAAAAATGTAAGCATTACAAGACTAAACAGTCCAACTACAAAGGGAATTAAGATTTCCCATTAAGTCTAACTTCAGCCCTCACACCATTGCCTCTGTCCTCACCATATAT